GAGTATGCGAACGCTGCAAGTGAGACTGGATTACGCTCGACCGCTGTGAATTCGTACGCAAGCTGCATAATACTTCTTCAGGAGGACATTTGGAACGATGACGCTCTAGATGTGAGCTACGGCGAGACGCTGCAAATATTCACGTCTGCTGCTGAGTGCTATTTGTACCAAGGACAACATGACGAAGCTAGTCGCTTGCTGCAAGATATACTCTCCAATGCTCGGAGCCCAGTAGACAAAGCTCCCTCCTGGATCTTGCAATCTCGTATGCTTGCACAGTTGGGTAACTCGACTGGTGCTTTTCATGCCCTGAGTGAATGCCTCATGGCTCTAGATATTCTGGTTGATGACAATCCAACATTTTCTAAATGCGACAAAGAACTTCGACGGCTATGCGAGGCTGTCTCTGCTGTTGAGATTGAATCCATTGTCGAGACGGCTCTGCCTGCGCATCCAGCCTTGGCTGCTGCCGGGGCGGTTCTTCTGGAGGCCACCAGCGCGGCTTTTTGGTCAGACACGCTGACTTTTTACCACATGACGCTTGTCATGGTTGACACCTATCTTTCGCGTGGTCCATTCCCCCAGGCGGGCATGGGACTCATGCAGTTAGCTGTGATAGCAATCACTCGAGACAATGCAATGACCTTCGCAACACATTGTGGGGAACTTGCCCTGGCACTGATTGAGCAATCCAAAGACCCACATACTGTAGGTCGTGGCATCGCTCTATACTCCACCTTTGTCGGCCATATTCAACATCATATCCAGTCTTCAATCTCCCAACTCGAAGGAGCAGTAGATTTTTCTATCCGCGCCGGTGACCGAATTGCCACCATCTTGAACTTCGGGTTCCTGGCTACCGTGAAATTTTTTGCATCCGAAGACCTGGCTGAGCTGGAGACCTTCTGTGTCTACAGTTGCCAGGACATTCCCAGCTGGCAGACGGATACGGCCGGCGGTACAATCCTCATCACAATCTGCCAGCTCAGCCGTGCTTTGCAAGGCAAAACATATACACATGACTCGTTCGGGGTAATGAGTGACAAAGAACATAACTCGGCCGCATATAAGTCTTGGCTGGTAAGGACTATCAAAAACAGCGACCGGCCACTGATGCTCTATGAGAGCATGGAAATCGCACCGCTATTTCTGTACGGCCATTACGGGCGAGCGGTATCATTGGGAAATTCTTGTCTCAAGAAAGTCAACGCTATATGGTCCGCACGGAACACGCGGTTTCTCATGTTCTTCCATTCCCTTTCTCTGGCCGGATGTGTGTGGATCCGAAAGCAGCAACAGCTTAATGCCGCATACCGTGCATCTTCCCCCCAACTGGCGTCCGATATCGGTGGGCGATCTTTTGAGACGGATTTTGTGGAGGAGACGACAAGCATGGCAAGGATGTTGCGATACTTCAAACGCAAGATTGAACAGTGGCAAGTCATCTCAGATTTGAACTATCTGGCATGGACTAAACTTCTGGGCGCTCAAATCGCCGAGATGGAAAATGACCAAAACGCTGCACTTATCTTCTATCAAGAAGCAATAGACCACGCTTCAAAGCATGGATTTGCTTTCGATGAAGCCCTTGGCCACCATTTGTTAGCTGAACATCTGATGCGTGAAGGATCTTCACGGCTAGGCACAATGGCTCTGAAGGAGGCAGTCGGACTCTACCGACAAATTGGCGCTACGGGGGTGGCTGATTATATCCTGTGTTGTCATGATCTGGGGCTGCAGACGAAAGAAAAGGCACGAGAAGTCGCTACTCAGACTGAACCATACGATATCAGTACACAGATTCGCCCTCAGCCGTCCGAAGTTGGGAACGACGAAATCCCAAGTGCCGTAGGGTCCGTGGCAGAGCGTGTCCTTCATATTCTAGATCTCACAACCATCCTCGAAGGGTCCCAGGTGATATCTAGCGTTCTTAAGGTCGACGACCTGCTCCGGACTATGTGCAAAATCATCATGCAAAGCTGTCATGGCGCTGCCACCATGGCGACTATTATCACCAAGGAGGACTTGACACTTGGGTGGGCCGTGGCAGCCAGTGGCGACTCAACTGGTAGCATAAAAGTACATGATCCGCCGACACCGGTTGAACACTCCCATCTTGTCGCGGAAAGCATTGTGAATTATTGCGTGCGCTTCCGCGAGGCAGCGTATTTACCAGATGTCATGCAAGATCCGCGATTCAGCTACGTCAGTGAAGCCTGGGGGGCTCAAAATTCTGTCAATAAATCGGTCGTGGCGTTACCCATCTCTTACGGTGGTGGAGAGAATGAGCCCATTGCTGTCCTCTATCTGGAGGGGCCACCCAACGCCTTCTCGTACCGCAATCGCGTCGTTTTACAGTTGCTCGTCGTCCAGCTTGGAATCAGCTATTCTAATGCGCTGACCCTCAGGGAAGTGGAAAGGGTATCTATCATCAACCAATCTATGGTAGATGTCCAGAAAAAGGCGTTGGCGGAAGCGATGGAGGCCGAGCAGAAGGCGAACATTGCCACGGCGGAGGCTCTGCGTCATGCCAAGCTAGCCGAAGAAGCCGTCAAGGCCAAAAGTATATTTCTCGCCAATATATCCCATGAACTACGAACACCACTTAATGGGGTCATTGGGAACTCGGAGCTTTTGCTCAGCAGTCCACTATCAGAGGAGCAATTGGAAATGGCTGATTCGATTCGCATGTCAGCAAAGCTCCTGCTCACCGTGATTAATGACATCCTCGACTTCTCCAAGATCGAAGCGAACAAGGTGCAGTTGCATATTGTCTCCTTTGATGTAGAAAAAATGGTCAGGGAAGTCGTTCGCTCAACGCCGGCCGGCTATAGGAACAAGCAAACTTCCGACAACGTCCGCATTATACGGGATGTCACACCGCCCCAGACCCACGTAAATGGGGATCCCGTGCGAATGCAGCAGGTTTTGGGCAACTTACTCAGTAACAGCCTAAAATTCACCGAAACAGGGTCTATCACGATAGGATCCAGGGCAGACGATGAAACTGAGGATTCTGTTCGTCTTTCCTTCTGGGTAACGGATACGGGTATTGGCATCCCAGCGCGGCTCATACAGCAACTCTTCAAGCCGTTCACCCAAGCTGATGCCAGCACCGCCCGCCGTTTCGGAGGCACTGGTTTGGGCCTCAGTATTTGCAAATCTCTTGTAGATCTGATGGGAGGCACCATGGAGCTCCAGAGTGTCGAGAACGTCGGCACGACTGTCTCTTTCTCGATCATCTTGCCTAAGGTCAATCCCGACAGCTCAGGGACTACTACTCCAACAAGGCCCAGTGACAGTTCAATAGGCTTGGTCAATGAGTCAACCTTGGCTTGCATTGATCTGTCCCAGATCCCTCTCTCCAACCTCAGCGTCTGCATCGCGGAGGACAATCTCATCAATCAGAAAATCACGGTGCAGTACCTCAAAAAACTAGGTTTTACCCAAGTGGATGCCTACAGTAACGGGCTCGAAGCGGTGGAGGGCATCCAAAAGAAGGCTAGCGCGGAGCAACCGTATCACATGATCCTGATGGATGTCCAGATGCCTGTCATGGACGGGTATGCTGCCACACGTCGTCTGCGCAGTGATGCGGTGGATGCTGTGAGGCGTATTCTGATTATTGCTCTCACAGCCTCGGCGATTCAGGGTGATCGAGAGAAGTGTCTGGATTCGGGAATGAATGACTACCTGTCGAAACCGGTTCTTTTAGCTGCTTTGAAGAAAAAGTTGGGTCAATACCTTCAAATAAACTGATCTGGTCTGTTTTCCACACATGATGGAATGGCCGATCTGTATGTTCACTTGCGGTCCGCTGCGTAAAGGGCAGAGCAAAGCTTTGGCCGAACGCACGAATCGCATTATCCGGGAGTGAATCAACAAGCTCCTGTCCGATCCGAAACCTCCTGCTTCCTGGTGGACCGAGGTTTTGGAGACGGTGGTCTATCTGAGATTGCGCGCGTCAGCGTCAATCTTTCCCAGAAAACACCATAGAGATACGGTACCTCAGCTGGCGCATCTACGACTCATTGGGTTCCTTGCCTAGGTGCTGATGCCGAAAGAGCATCGAGCGAAATTCGGGCCTAGATCATCTGAGTGCTGATCGCTCGGTTACTGTGAACCGAATCAGTACAGGCTTCGTGAGGTTCACTTGGAAAAGACAGTCTTCTCTCGTGTTGTCGAGTACGATGAGAGGACTCCAGTGGCGCCACTCATCAAGGGGGAAAGGCAACTACCTCCCGGACAACGCTCCTACCATTAACTGTCTTTCCACTAGTGGCGCTGTCTCCAGCGAGCGATGCCAAAACCACCTCTATCATCTTTAAGTCTGGCCGAGCGAGAGATAATACCCACTCGGGACGTGGAAGAACTACAACCCGTCAACCCCATATAATAGCAAAAAGAGTCTATACAAGACCTAAGATATTCATTATATGGCCACCAAAGATAAAGTTTATGCTAACTACTAGTAAAGATCTTCATAGTAGGTAATAGGTATACTAAATACCATAGTAGCGAAAGAGATTTATATATTAATATTTTAAGAGTTCATGTCTGGCCTGTGCTATCATAATAGTAGGAGGCTATCTAGGTTGAATATCCCTCTTCTCTTGAGTATAGCGTAAGTATAGAATATAGGAAAATGTTCTATAAGTACTGATCTCATTAAAAGCGTTTTAAGGGCACGACGCTCTGGCCCTCAAAACGTTCTTATTAAGGTCTACTAAGTGCCTTCCTCTTTATTTCCAACTCAATGTGGAATATCCTGAAGATAACCTAGTAAGTCGGAGTTAGCCGGAAGCTCTTGAGGGGGCCGAGGAATATATGCATGCGGATATATAAAATTTTCATCATACATATAGACATTTACTTTCACATGGGCATGCTGGTCATCTCCTGAGTAGTCCAGTATTTTCTAGTCTCCTCTGCCCCCAACTGACGCACTTCCTCATCCAGGTGGTCCCATAATGTTGTCCCGACGGAGTCTAAGATGTCCTTTACTTCATGCCAGCAAAGGTCCGCTCGACCCTGTAAACAGCTCCGGGTATACGACTCCAATTTTCAAGTCCGCTGTGGATGACCTTGTGTTGCGCAACCAGGATATCATTGTTCGCGAAGGCCGGCATGCGCCTTGCGAGATATGGGAACACACGAACCTGCAAATAAGGTTAGTCTGATATGACCCGCAAATCTTTATAACCAGGAATTTTATACCTCTTCGATCTGGTGGTGCGTTTCGAGTTTTCGGCAAAACTCCAAACACAGATTGAGATACTTCTTGATAGACATGCCACCCGATCGTCGCCCTGATTGTGCCACGTCATATATGACATTCCACCGTACTCGGAACCATTGATGCTGTGGAATATTCCAATCAGTGAAATGGTAACTCATGAAGTTCGATCCGGTGCGTACCAGTGCTTGCATAGTGTCTGCCATGCGGTTGAAGTGCTTGAATTCGGTAGGAGTAAAAGGTGGGAGATGCAACGCAGTGTGAGTAGTCATTTTCAAGAGAAATGCCGAATTTCTAAAATTCGAGGGCTTTAGACCTTATTTAAACCTGAAACCCCCGGATAAATCTTGTGAGTAAATGCGTTTCCTACCAAACATTACGGAATTAGTAGATTACGAATCGCTCGCACAAAGAGAGACCGTAATCAATAGCACGGGTACCTTCAAGAGTTTTGGTTTTAAGCAAGGCGGATCTCGGGGTTGAGGCGTTGTCCCGACGGGCCGAAGTGACAAATTCGCCGCCAAGTTTATTTTGTATCTTATGTTTATCTTTTGCATTTAAGTCCAGTTGATCTAATTGATTTTATCATTTGAAAATAATCTTTTGATCAGTTTATCAGCCAATATCTGAACCGATCGATCATGACTTCACAATTTGTCGCTGTGGCCGGTGCCACTGGTAGTCTGGGGCCAACTCGTCGCATTGGAACTTATCAAACGAGGCATGGCCGTCAAGGCGCTTGTCCGCCCCAATACCGACCCATCGCGCACCGTCAAGCTTCGCAACGCCGGCGTCACCATCACACACGTTGATCTCTCCGCCGTACCCGCCCTCACTCGTGAATTGACCGGAGCTGTCTGTGTCGTCTCGACCCTCCAAGGAACAAGAGATGTCATCCAAACCGTCCAAGGGAAGCTCTTGGAGGCCTCTGTGGCCGCTAAGGTGCCCCGATTCATCCCTTCGGACTTCTCACTCGATTTCACCAAAACCAAGCCAGGATCCAACCGCAACCTGGATCTGCGTCGCCAGTTTCACACCCAACTGAAGAAATCCGGCATTACATGGACCAGCATTCTCAATGGCGGTTTCATGGATCTCATGGTCGGTGACTCTCCGATGATCAATCATAAGAGCCACAAAGTCGCTTATATCGGCTCAACGGACCAACTGCTTGATTTCACCACTATGGTCGACACGGCCGCGTACACTGCCGCTGTGGCTGTGGACTCGAAACCGGCGCCTAATTTCCTTTGTATCGCTAGCGACACGGTCACTATAAAGGATATTGCTCAGGCACAGAGCAATGTTGAGGGCGTCACATACAAGCCCTCGTGGATGGGTACAGTGGGTTCAACAGAGATGTTGATTCGCGTAATGCGCTTCTTTGGAGGCGAGAATGACGTGTTCCCGGCCTGGCAGGGCTTGCAGTACATGGTGAACATGTTTTCTGGTGCTGGAAAGCTCGGCCCGCTGGACAACAACCGATACCCTGATCTGAAGTGGACCAAGGTTGAGGATTTCTTCCGGGAGCACAAGGTCAACGAATGATGTGACTTGACAATTAGGCCGTCCTGACTGATCCGTCCTTTCGATCGATTTGCCGAAGAGTCGGGCTCTTGGCTTGCCTAATTGGAGCATGATGGTGCTTTTGAGGATTGTATTATTGAAATTCTGTTTTTCTTCAGCTGTACGATCGATTGTGTTACTTATCCTAACATCCAAATAATCTCCCGCAGCATAATTCGAGCTCTATCCAACACTCCTTTTTGATATTCTTTCCATAGTCACCTGAGCCAAGTGGTCAAGTTTTACGGTCGCTCTCGAAATCGGCTTGGCCGATATACACGGAGCAATTCTTTGTGGGACCCACCGCCAAGGCCTTAGCGCAGATCATCCATTAGGCGGACTGCATTAAATCGAAGGCGCAGTAAAATGTATTTTGCTTCTAAGTAAAACCCAGTGAACATCGAAGAAAGGGCCTCCACCAAGGCTTAGCTTTTCACTTGAACCTAAGACTTCCCATCAATATCCACCAGGATTTAAAACTTCGATTTAATTTCGGGTCTTACTTGATTCACTCCCGCATTTACTAATTTCAATCCCTCCTTATAATAAAGTGACTTGTATCTATTGCGCAAGTACTTCGAACCCCAATACCGTCCTCGGACTTCAAAATTTTCAACCCCCAAGCATATTCTAATATAGATATATAGCTTCAAAGGTAGAATATTATTGAAGCTATCGCATAGGAGGTTTTTGCAGTAAGAAAGCAACATCAAGAGAAACAACAGGAGCTATAGAAGCTCTGAGAGGAGACACAGTCGAGTCCTAGCTAGATATTCATAGGATTACCTAATATCCTACTCGAACTATAGGTGAGACTATTAAGTAGTGCCCTAGTCGAATTTAGCGCTAGAAGAGGACTAAAGAGTAGAAGGATAGTCCTAAGAAACAGATAAGTTTGTATATTCAGGCTGTAGGTAGAGGAAAATATATATATATGGTGTCGAAGTTGCGGCAGAAAAAGTACAGGTCACTTTGTTCTAAAGGGGGAGTGAATTTAGTAAGTCCCTTAATTTCTTACAGAAGGACCTGAATTTAATATCGGCCGTTCAAAAGATACCCGGCGCTAAGGCCTTAGCGCTGGGTCCCGCAAAGAGTTACTCAAGTGTATATCGGCCAAGCCGACTTCGAGAGCGACTATATTACATCTCAATCATTGAATTATTTATCAGAGGCAACTTTCCAATTCAGCTAACTTGTAAAATTCTTACCACTTCTCTACATACGGTCGGAGGTCGATCTCCTGCGTGAATGCACTTCTGGGCTGGGTATGCAAGAACCAATAAGAATCCGCAATCTACCATGAATAGTTAGAAGATAGTTAGAAGATAGGGTTAGTACTACCCTTCACTTACTCCCTCGGGATCAATTTTGGCATCAGGAATATCCTGGCCGTAACCCTTGGTCTTCATCGTATTGATGATACCATCAATAATGGCATGAGAAACATGAACGCCCTTAGGTCCAAACTCCCGCGCCAGAGACTGAGACAATGCGCGAGTTCCAAACTTACTCATCGCAAACGCAGAAAGTCCCGAGCCACCCTTGAGTGCAGCGGTAGCACCTATTTCCCATTAGCTTGACCCCGGCATAGCGTGAAACAACACGATCATACCGGTGAAGATAAGCGTGGGTGGGTACTGCCCCTTATCCCCATTCAGCATCAAGGGTAAAGTGGCTTGGGCGAAATTGAATGCACCCCTGTTTGACGGCTCCAAGCTGCCAAAGAAATCCTCGGGGCTTTGCTCCAGGAAAGGCTTCATCAGGAATTTGCTCGCGACGTTGTAGATCGCCGCCGCGACCGTAATGTCACTTCCAAATTTGGCCTTGATTTGGTCAATGGTCGCATTCATACTCGAAGCATTTGTCACGTCGGTGGGGAATCCTGTCGCGGAACCGCCGCTTTCTCGGATCTCTTTCAACAAGGGGTCTAGCGACCCTTGTGAGCGTGAAAGGAGGACCACGGGATAGACTTGGGCAAAGCGACGCGCGACGGCACTGCCGGTTCCGGAACCCGCTCCGGCAATAATTGCGATCGCCTTGGACATTGTGAAGGTTTGAAAGCGAAACAAGCAACATAAAAGAAAACACAGGCGTCACAGCCTCCTTATGTTGGGATTACAACATGACGTCACCACCATTCTACATTACCGACCGTCAACGTTTTCGATCAACTGTGCGGGCATTTCTGACAAGCGTGTCTTTTGGCGATTGCCGCCTAGATGGGGGTGCGACACCTAGAAGATTACTAACTAGTTTAAACCCTGACTTTATGTTTATGTTTTCCAACCAATCCTAGTTCACTATTGCCCCCTGGAGATGCGGGTTCCCACTATCTTTCAAGTGCTGGACATTGAGCATCTCAACAGGTCATATGGGCTTGACCGAAAACCCACAATTATACGGTGGGGGATCGGAGGGTCGGTGGGCCGACCACCGTTGCCCCACTTGAGCTTTAGTTTGCTGACAGCTCGGTCTCTTCGGGCACATGGTCAATCCCGAGATTACTCAGTAGCAGAATCTTCCAGCTTCGAGTCATTTTTGATCTATCCATGTGGATTGTCGTTATATCATAAACTTGAGAATTTCCTAGCTAGGTACGATGGTACTTGGGCATTAATCTAGGTCGTCCATCGTTCGGCCTTTTACTATAACCATAGTATACCATAGCATCATCCGTTCTTTATATCTGGTCAATACAAATCACTGCTTCAAATCACCGTGCCAAAGCTTGGACGTACATAGTCTTACACATGTGGGCAAATTTAAATTTTCCATCGTTCGCCAACTGTCGCAAAACGGTATTCGTTCCCTCCACGGCCAGCTTCATCATCTTCTTCTCTTTCTGTAAGAGCTCTTCGAGTTCTGCTGGGGAGGCATCAGGGTGTTTCCACTCGAAAGTGTAGGTCATGTAGAGTTCTCCGTCCCCACCCTCACTAACGATATTGGTGATGGTGCTTCCGTCCGGCTGAACAAAGACGGCTCTGGAAGGCTTATATCCGATGACTGTTTCTCTCACTTTGCGATTGTTTTCGACGAAAACAACTTCGCGCACTGTGACTGGGTTGCCAGTTGAGGGGTCGGTGGACTCGGAAATCACGTTGGTGGATTGGATGGCCATGGGGACAAAGGTTTCGGCAAATCGAATCTTGAGGAGCAAGCCAGCCCAAATTTGGTCTTCTTTGAGAAATGTGCTAGCTCCAGCGGGATTGAGTGGAGCAGTGAAAGCAACATTGTGGGTAGCCATGATAAAGGTTGTTGTGATTTGGCAATGATCTGCGAGGATGATGAGGTTTAAATCCCCATCGACGATCTTCGTCAGTTATAGTTGTGTAGCAGCCGTTGAGTAATAGACTTCTCGGGCAAGACATGCAGGGCCGACCAGCAAGAGATGGCGAACATTGAATACGCCACTGTCTTTTCTCCATTTATCCTGATTGGGCAGAACTGAGTCCTAGGTTGGACCCAGAATGATCTTACTTTTTTTGTCAGCCTCGCTCCCTTGTGTAATCAACGGCCACGGAAGCCCGAGCTGACCTAATTCTACCTAACCTAATCGTAGGTTAGGTTTTAGGGCCAAATCTTGGACCTAACCTAATCTATAGGTACCTAATCAGGCATAAAATTTACCTTTCTCATTATTCGGCCTTGCCAATCTGGCCTTCTCGTTCGCCTCCGAACCGAGGTAATAGATCATCATTACTTGATCTACTGTAGGGGATATTCAAATTCAACCCATAGTCAGGGCTAAACCCAATATCAGTACGTGGCGATGCTGACATAATGAAAGTAGTCAAGGCTCGGCTTCGGGTCTCGGGGCTGAGATGAAAATGAGTCCGAAGACCGTGCAGAATAAGGATAAAAATTTTGATCTTGTCTCTCTAGGGCAAAGAATTATTCCCTGGATCCGTTGTGTTCAAGACTTTTAGTAATGACATCCCTATTCTGCCAGTTGATACAGTCGGTTATTAAATGATAGCTGATTCCTCTAATGGAAGTTGCAACTTTGTCCTGCGAACTCATCATACATACTTAGCTGTGGCTATTTCTTGAATTCCACGGATTTTTAAGAAACATTGGGGAAGCGTTCTCCATCCACAATGGAAACCCTTGTTCAACACCAGAAAGAATTGTCGACGTTGTCTGATAAATTACAGACCCTCGATTATTCGTGCCAGATGGCCCCCCTCATATTGGATGTATCTTGACTCCAGACGAACAAGAGAAATAGCTCTTGTTCAAAGACAAGTGCCGTGATCAAGGTTATGACGTATTTAAGACTGACCATTACACAGACGACGCCGCATTGTTGTGAGTCACATATTATATTTGCGTCTTTTCCCTTCCTGACAATCAATAGGCGATATCTACGTGCGAGAAATTTTGATGTTGCCGCTGCGTTCGAGCAGTTTGACTTCGCCGCAAAATGGCGCAGGGAAAATGGAATTGCGGAGTTTTATGATAATTTGGACGTGCAAAGCTTCGAGGAATCTAGGAAAATGGTAATGTGGCTCAATCATTGTCATTCCGGATGCGCTAATATTTCCCAAAGTACCCTCAGTGGGTTGGTAGACGCGATCACGATGGCCGGCCGCTTTATGTGTTCGCTGTCAAGAACTTCACCAAGAAAAAGTGGATGAGTATCTCGCTAAAATTGATGCTTGCTCTTCGGTGAAAACCCAATCTAGGTCCGACTCACCCGGCTATATTCTCCATTCCTACGCGCCGTATGACCATTTGATACAATTTGTGACTCCCTTGGTGTCGGAATTCCCGCGGCCAAACAAGAACACACCGATTTCTGCTTCAACCTATATCATTGATATATCTGGGGTGAGCCTCAAGCAGTTCTTCGCCATACGAAAGTACGGGCAGGAGTCAAGTGAACTGGCGACTAAACATTATCCCGAAACCCTTGGGCGAGTCTTTGAAAGTTTCCTCCCACACATACATACCTATCTGCCGAAACTAATTGGTCGCAGGTTGTTGGGGCTCCGTATTTCTTTCGGTGAATTTGAGAAGGCATGAGCCATTGGTTCGACCCTGTCACTCGATCGAAATTATTCTTGTTGAGTTCGTCGGAAGCCAAGTCCACCTTGCTTTCGCACATAGATGCATCCGATCTTCCCGAGGAGTATGGTGGTACACTGAAATGGAAACTGAAATGGAAGTGGCAGGATATGCCAAACCTCGACGAGCCGATGCGAGAGTTGGTGAGTGAGCTGTATGAGTCAAGTAAGCAAGAGGGTCAAATTGTGAAGGGTCTAGTCAGTTTTCAAGACGGTTGTATTCAACTCCTAGGCAGGGAGAATAGGCAGCCAGGCGTAATCAGCTCTGTCGTGTATAGAAAAAGTCCCAGCAATACACAAGTCATTCCACTCAATAAGATTTCCGGGACAATGCGGAGAAAGCAACATTACTAAGTGCTCCCCAAACGTCACATGAGGGGTAGACGGGGTGAGATTTGAAAATGTGGGGAATGAATTTTTCCTGAAGAAACTCCAACTCTTTTATTTCTTTCACATGACTGAAGAATCCACCATGGTCATAAAGTTCGAGTTCTTGCGCAAAGAGCAAGTAGCCCTATTATAGGGTTGACATACAGGCAAGAAGGGTTTGAGCCATAAAGTCACGATCGATGGGTGGCCAGCATGCCTATGGTTTATGTCAAATCCAGTTGTTATTTCAATAACTAGTGCGCCAAAAAATATTTTGTGCCCCTACCGACCTGACAATTATAAGACTCTCAAGGGCCCTACTAAGCTCAACCCCTTAACTTTTCTATATCCTTTGTAGTATATATCAATTCATACTCTCTTGTACTTAATAAGCTATGCCTATACTAGTCAGTACTATATAGCCACGTTCCAGCAAGGGAATTATATCAATTAGTATCTATATCTATTCAAAAGGTAAAAGGTAAGTAGAGACTCTTTATTAGAGAGTATCTAAGGAATGATTTGAATGGATATTAACTAGACTTCGACAAGGCCATGGGCTAGCCCAGTGGGTTGCCGAAGTCTAATCCAATGGGCCGGCCTATGGACCTTGCTGAAGTCTAAATATTATATAATCAAATGTAATGTCAATATTCTTGACCTATCACCATATATACCAACCTAGGGATCTTTCAGTATAGATAACCTTAGAAAGATTTCAAATCCCATGTTTCTTAACCCCTGTTGCCGTTTCTCCATCAGACATTTCCGAAGAGAATAGACTATTCGGTGAGATTTGAATTCTAACTCTAGAGCTCAGGTGTTTGTCGTTAGTCCCCGACTCTATTAGAGTCTAAATTGAATAGTTGCAATAGCACTCCATCTTCAAGAGATGCTCAAAGATATATTAGAATGTCTGAAGAGGTTTGAATGGAAGAGTACCGCCGGTCCTGTAAAGAATGCAATTATACAAGAGACATTTTCCCGTGGGCGAGCTGTTGGCGCCCAGACATGATATCTTAACTTCTGTCTTCTCTTATTGACTCTGAAACTTCCTCCATTAGATCGTACCAAATGCAAAATTCTATTTCTCTCCACCGATGTAGATTTTTAAGTATCTTTATCATTCTGTCTCATCAACTGAAGTGGCGAATCATCATCACGTATACTTCAGCAATTTATATACAGTTTGAAGATACGAAGCCTGGAGGGGTTCAGAGCAAAGAGTCCTTGTATTTCTCAACGTACTGCTTCCAGGTCTCGGTCTTTGGGCCAACGCTCGACAAAAGTGCCTTGGTGCTGTCAAGGCTGCGGCCGTTATAGTAGCCAGGTTCCTCGATGAAGAGATGGTTCTCCAGCAACTCATCTGCAAGCGCGGGGGGCATGAAACTCTTGTATGTGTCCGAGTCGACCTGCACATAGCGGGTTTTTTGTCCAGTGACAGCCTCAAAATTATTCAAAATCTCAGCGGGAGTGTAGTAGTTGTCAGCGGCCAAGATCTGGGCGCCGATTAGCTCAGTGCGCTTCAAGATGCCGGCGAGGACAAATTTGCCTGTTATATGTCAAATAATGGACACAGAACACCTTTTCAGGATAGCTCTCAGCAAGGTCCTTGAGAATGTCAATCAAGGGAAACTTGGCATTGTCTGCAACGGGGTATGCTAGGCTATAAACCCCGTCTTCGCCCTTACGGATCATGCCGAAGGCAGCAAAATTAGACATGAAATAACTGGGAAGAACGAAGGTTGCGGGAACGCCGGTGGAGCGAATGTATTGCTCCGTCTTCTGCTTATAATCGAAGTGAGGGACGTGAGTGAGCCGGCCACTGGAGGTTTCGGTAACATTTAAGAGCGATGAATAGATGATGTGCTCCACGCCAGCCTCCTTGGCAGCGTTGGCGACGTTAGTGCCGTGAGTCAACTCAATTGCGGCACCTCCCTCACCCCAGCCAGGGGTGGTAACAAGTAATACGATGTGAGATCTGGCAAGAGCATCACGGAGCGAATCAACCGAGTCCATATCAGCCTGAGAAAACCAGTTAGCTTAATACGGGCTGGAAGAAAGGAGAAGTGCTGAAAAAGAACGCACGCTTTTGATCTCGACTCCCTGCTTCAGCAAGGCCTGGGCAGAAGGCTTAGAAACATCGCGAGTGATGCCACGGATCTTGAAGTCCTTAGACGCCGCGGGGTGTGCCAGAATGGCGTTGATGACGGAACCCCCCTGATTGCCAGTGGCACCAAAGACAGTGATAAGGCGAGTCATGATGAAGAATGAATAAAAAAAAGTAAATTAGAAGTTACTTGATTGAAATGTTCGTACTCAAAAGTATTGTACCAAGAAGCTCTACCTGGGGTCTTATAGACACCGAGTCCTGCGAATAAAAGACGTCATTAGGAATAGTTCACGTCGACCGCTCGATTAGTCACGATGGCATGCCGAAGGCCGTATGCCGAAGATGATTGAGCAGAATATGTGTTTTACAGGAATATCGCAGAAAAGATTGTCTCTGTCAGCATGCCCGACCGAATGAAGGGGTCGCGACGTTGCGTATTGAGGAAACCTACGAATGATTCTTATGTTGATCACCGCCCTTGATCTCGGTGCTCGGTGCTCGGTGCTCGATACAGAATCCGGGATATTCGAGATTGGGTTCGGAAAGCTTAAGAGCATTTCCGTGGGGCGTTTTGAGAGGCAAATCTTGCAATAGTGGGGCTTGGGTGAACGCGTGAGATAGCGTAGATGATTCAGCTTCGGCGCAAAAAGTATGCTCGCGCCAACGTAATTCAAAGGGTCCGCTCTAACTACACTGTGGTCGATTTGTCAGCTTGTGGATAAGGTGAAAGCAGGACGAGTAGCCAAGCCCGAGGTGGAAATTAATTATGTAGGGACGAGGTGATGATACAGATATATTCTAAAAAGCCGCATCTTCCTAGGTAATCGCATTCTTTTTTTCATCTTCGAATACCCTGCAGCCGGAACTATGACTCAATAACTGGAGCATATCAAGATATACGGCGGCTCTTTCGGCCCTAACCCTTTCAAAGTCTCCATCATTCTTGGCGAACTCGGCCTTCCCGTTGAGGAGATCCTACCGACTTCACCGAAATCAAGACTCCTGCCTATGAAGCTATAAACCCCAACGGCCGGCTCCCGGCCATCTACGACCCTAACACTGGGATCACTCTTTGGGAGTCTGGCGCCATGATTAAATATTTGATTGAGACGTACGACAAGGACCAGCGGATCAGCTTTGTGCCGAGTAGCCATGAGTCGTATCACGCGCGCCAGATGCTGCATTTCCAGATGTCCGGGCAGGGCCCTTACTACGGCCAGGCTGTCTGGTTCAAGCGCTACCACCCGGAGCACGTTCAGAGTGCGTTGGACCGGTACATTGGGTTAGATCAAACGAGTATGCGGAGTGCTAGACAGCATGTTAGGTAACCGGCAGTGGCTGGTGGGTGACAAGTTGTCCTACGCCGACCTCGCGTTTGTCTCGTGGCAGAAAGGCGCTGTCGGCTCACGTAAACGGACGTATTTTATCGACCAATGGGGTGCGTTCTCGAATGTGTGATTGTCTGAATTATTACCCGCCCTCGAACCACGGTTCTTATGTGCGGATCCTGACTAACGTGATTCACGGTCTCCCGGGCGACACTGCCGGTCGGGCGGCCCCATCAAAATCCCTCTTCATAATAAAACATGTTTATTAACTACAACAAAAATGCCTCCCCAACGCTCCGATCGAAAAAAAAAGTTGATAGAGCAGGAGGGCCGTCTTTTATTAGCTATAAAAGCTATAAAAGATGGTAAATATCCCTCTGCTGCAGCTGCTGCACGATCATTTGATTTACCTGTCTCAACTTTGAAGTATCGGCTTAATGGGCGTGAATCTTTGGCTGAGAAGAGACCAACTGGCCATATTTTTACTGAAATTGAAGAGCAATCAATGGAAGACTGGCTACTTGATATGGATGCTAGAGGCGCTGCTCTCACGATACCTATGTTACGTGATATGGCCAATCTCCTACGAAGTGCCCAGAAAAATACCCCCTCGACTATTGGCATCAATTGGCCTACTCAATTTATCAAACGACGCCCAAATCTCTCTATTCGACTTTCACGCAAATATGATTATCAGAGAGCTCTTTCAGAAGATCCGAGAATCATTAAACCATGGTTTGATTTGGTTCAAAAGACTATTGAAAAGTGGGGTATTGTTTCAGATGATATCTTCAACTTTGATGAGAGTGGTTTTGCTATGGGTATTGGCGCAACGCAAAAAATTATCACTTCCGCGGAATATCATGGAAAAGGAGTTCTTTTACAAGCTGGAAATCGAGAGTGGGTAACCACAATTGAGTGTATTCGAGCTTCTGGAAGTGTTATACCTCCGCTCTTCATTTTCAAGGGAAAAAAGTTTCCAGAGCATCTACGTCCCTATCTCCTTTTAAACCAAAAAGGAACTCATCTGACTATGAGTGAAAATGGCTGGACTACTAATACAATTGGTTTATGGTGGTTAAAACATCATTTTATCCCAAATATTGGGACAAGGGTAGGAAAATATTGCCTATTAGTCCTCGATGGTCATGGGAGTCATTTGACCCCCGAATTTGACCAACTTTGTGAAGAAAACCAGATTATTGCAATCTGTATGCCTCCGCATGCTTCTCATCTTTTACAACCTTTGGATGTGGGTTGTTTTTCAGTTTTGAAGAAGCTTTATGGAGGAGCTGTTTCAACTTTGATGCGGAATGGAGTAAACTCTATTGATAAGGAAGATTTCCTTGAACTTATCGCAGATGCGAGAATAGGTGCTTTTAAGACTTCTACTATACAGAATAGCTTTTCAGCTACTGGATTAGCACCATTTGATGCTAATAAGGTCTTGGAAAAGCTAAATGTGCACCTGGATTCCCTTCCTCCGATAGAGATCCTCTCTCAGCGACCACCTTCTTCTGGCAGTGATAGTGATCCAAATACTCTCTGGACTCTCTCAAAATTCACAAAATCACAATCTCGGATCAAAAAAGGTCTAGAATCCTCATCTTCAATCCTTTCTTCACCAACAAAAAGGGAGATAAAGAAGTCGTACGATATGACTATCAAAGTGGTCCACCACCATATTTTTCTCCAGAATCGCTGTGCCCAATTAGAGGCTACCAATAAGAAACAGACCAAAAAGAGAGCGACCATACCTAAGTTTATTACCCAGAGAGGCATCTTCGGGGGTCTAGAGGGTGGTGAAGATGATGTGGTCTATAAGGATGAAGATGAAAGCAAAGATATATATTTGCCAGAGGTATCTACAAACACGGTTGTTGAGCCTACTTTACCTTCTATGCCTTCGGTTCGGCGGCAGGTGACATGTTCTGGGTGTGGGAAAAAAGGGCATACATATACTTATTGCCCTACTCGCTTTAAATAACAAAATTTATATTATTTTTGTGGTTTTATTCGTCATTAGAAATTGGTGATTTTTGAAAAGTTGGTGGGGTCGCCCGACCGGTAGTGACGCCCGCCCGACCGTGAATCACGTTAAGGCTAGCATGACAAAGCAGATTACCTAATTTTATGATTCTCCATAGCGACAGGCGCCAAAAACATGCTTTCGGACGAGGGTTACAACGAGGACGCTTTTCCTAATGTGGCGGTGTGGATGAAGAGGATGAACTCACGGCCAGTAGTCCATGATCTCATTGTGAAGCAGGACAACATGATGGCAGAAAAATTGAAGGCCGCAACAGCGGCGTTGAAGGGATAGCACACGGCCTGGATCCTGGGCATTTTGCGCCATTTTGTAACGAAGATTACTCAATATATTCTATGCGGAAGAAGTGGCCTCCGCGCTACCATTCTTTCAAATATTCCACTACCAAATGAGACAACACATTTTCATGGCTTTGATCATCGGCAATTCATTCTTGTCATTTTAATCTACCCGAATAAAAAGTATCGAAAAGTTGTACAGATTCTAGCGAACCAAACCTTATATAGAGCTCATACTAATGTCAAAATTGCAAGAGTCTTTCAAGAATGAGTGTTGTCTACCGTTCTTACTGCTATGCTGGCACCTGGGTATCTGTTAACTTGACCCACAAATCGATGCCAACACCCAACGCATCGAACGTCTTAGTCGTGATTAGTCTGTGCCATAACCCGCAAATGGGTAGGTAAAGTCAACCCGCAACCCGAACCCGCAAAACCCATGGGTTGGTCAAGTCAACCCGCAACCCGCCCCATGCGGGTTGCGGGTTCGGGTGCGGGTTACCCACGCTAGCCCATTTTTGCATAAATTTTTGACACTATACCTAAAAAGGATGGATAAATCCAATTTTTTATATAATAAACCACTTTTATGTACAGTTTTATACATAAATTTTTATGTTTGTCCTGTTTGACGACCCATTGGGTAACCCATAAACCCGCGCGGGTTTCCCATCAGAACCCGCAACCCGCATGCGGGTCAGACAGACCGACCCAAAACCAGCCTAGTCGTGATCGCGTAAGACATATATACTGCAGAGGAAGAGCCGAGTTTTTAGACATTCTATCTCCAACGTATACCCTCGGAGTCAATATATAGGCCTGTCAGTGACTAGTTCTCCATAAGCCATCGCCTAAGGAGTTCTTGTCCTCGGGCTCTTATTAAAATGACCATTTAGCTATCGGGCTTCCTCAGTGAAGGTGGTTGACCTCACCGTTCTATTAAGTTTCACTCATAAAACAATGAGATAGGTAGATGGAAATGTTGTCAATAAGATTGAGGCTATACTTTAAGATGTTAGTCATACTTTTAGTAAGAGACAGACATGTAAATTAGCAAGCGGTAAGCACATGAAAATGTCTTTCAATACGATTCAATACGTGAAACTAAGCTAAGTCGGAAATGAATTAGTACATTTTGGACTATGATTGGAGATAGATATTATAAGAGCGAAGTGGTGAGACTGATTTCGACCTTCCTGAAAGGCGTAATGGTCCAAAGGGTGGAAGAAAACAGAAAGCCCTAGCAGCCACAAGAGAGCGCTGTCAAGCACGCGAGGAGTTGATTCGAATTTGGGTGGATGCCGGGGGCTCAATGGATGTACGGAATGGATCTGGGCAGACACCGACCCAGCTGCTTAAGAGCAAAGATGGCAGATGATGGCCCAGCAACATTAAATCCAAGTGCAAGGGTACACTCCACCGGACATGTATACACCAACCGACCTCTGGATATTTGGCCGATGAATTGTTACTCTGACTTGCACTGCCGCCCTTTCAATTCTACGACCTCTATTACGCGTTCATAAGCAATTCCGGATTTGGAAAAGAACTCCTACCCCGTGAGACATGTGTGGCGGAGGAGAGCTAAGGTTTCCGAGTTAAAGGATGCTTGTTTCATCGTTAGAAGCTAGAGGTGGAAATCGAAGGCATGCATCTGGTACAAGCGGCCAAGTTATGAATTTGCAAATGAAACTGATTGGTCTCGAGTAGAGGATTAGACCAAGTAAATCAACGCGGTAAAATACCAATTCGGCTATCCTGCGTTCTCAAGTCTTGCGTTTGAAATATCTGTTATTTACATCTGGCCTGTAATTGACTATTGGTATCTTTGCTTCTCCGCTTGACACCTACTGTCTTTCCTTGTTTACCTAACCTTTTCTCCACCGTACAAAAAAAACTCACAATAGTGAGAATTCGCATATGTTAGCCACTATACTAATAAATAACCGGTCTATGGCTTAAATGCGGCTAGTACTTCGGTTGTATTGGTAGGGTGGGTACAGGGTGAGAAGGATGAGTGCGCAATAGATAGGTGTGAAGCAGGGTGAGAGCAGGTGAGCATCCCCTTTCCGGCGATTACTGCACTGACTCTTTTAGCTGAATTTCTGTTGAGCCATTGGATAACATTCGCACCTTAGCACCTGCACTTCGCCATTTTGGTTATTGCTGTCTGCTGTGTTTCATGAATTATTGATCTCCAAGCCCGCCTAGAAACCTACCTACATATTACTTGCTACTTTCCCTTTATACGTAGGTAGGTATCAAGATACTTGAGATATTGGTCGGAGTCCATGCGACTAGTTAGTCAATACTGGAAGAAAAGGGCATTTTGGAATCATCTGATTTCTCTTAGATGTAGATCCGCATTGGAAGAGGGGCTATTGTAGAAGAGGGGCTATTGTAGGTCGAGTCAAGGGAATCCAAATTAATCCCGATGCCAACGAATTTAGAAGGCACAAAGTACCTGCAAGAAGCTGATATGTTCCTGATAATGAATGTGGTTGTGAATTGAGGATTAATCTTTACAAAGAGCTACTGTCCTCGAACCTGGACTACTGCCTCAACGAAGTCTTAGGCCTTATTGCAACCGTAGGCTCAACATAGTCAAAATGTCCCAAGCCCGCGAGGAAAGAGACATGTTGTGGACCCTCGGGCATAAATCCAGCCAAGTTGAGGAAGTTGTGGGGCCACCCAAGATCAAAATCATAGCCCTTGTTGATCTCTGCGATATCTTCAGGAGTGAGCTCTAGGCTCACGGCCTCAACATTGGCTTTGAGCTGGGAGATCTTGTTTCCGCCGATCATGGGGAAGATGTAGGGAGACTAGAACGGTCAGTGGAAGGTAATTTGAGGAGAGTATAGATTTCTTACCTTTTGCATGGCATATGCAAGTGCAACAGACGTAATGGGGACTTCGTGGCGCTTGGCGACCTTGTCCAGGGCAGCTGACACCTGTCCTTCGCGGCCCGTCTTGACATGCGGAGTTTGGCGACCACCTTCTTTCGGCGCAGCATCGGGCGAGCGGAAGTAGCCTGTAGTTGTTAATAAATGAAATCGGTTCGTAGCTGAGGACTTACCACTGCCGAGCACACCCCACGGGTGAATAGCCATACCCTCATCCCGACACATAGGGATGATATCCCGCTCGAGATCACGCATCATAGCATTGTACCGGCCCTGGTAGACCGAAAATGGGCGGAGACCATGCTCTCGCGCATAGGCATTAGCCTTGGTAACGACCCAAGCGGGCGTGTCGCTGATTCCCAGATACAGGACCTTGCCCTGCTGGACGAGGGTGTTGAGCGATTGCATAAGCTCAGGGATAGAGGTAGCAAAGTCCCAGGCGTGGACATAGTAGATATCAATATAATCCACCTGAAGACGCTTCATGCTGTCGTCGACGGCCACGCGCATACTTTTAGTGCCCGTTCCACCGTAGTTGCTTTGCTGCACAGCCTTACCGAAGATCGGGGATAGCGTGTACTTGGTCGCGAGCACGATCTCAGATCGTCGACCCGTCTTCTGGAGCCACTCGCCAATCCATTCCTCACTTTGGCCAAATTGGTACATGTTAGCGGTGTCAATGAAGTTGCCGCCTAGGTCGTAGTAGGCGTCTAGTAGCTCGAATGCCTGCTCCTTGGTGCATTCGCCCATCATGCCCTTCCAGTTGTTGCCCAGACCTGGATATCGCCTTGTTAGTACGGATTTCGTTGGGATAACAAAAGTCTTCTTACTCATGCCGCCCAACGACAGTGGGCTGACACGCACCGACGCCGAGGGGGCTAAGAGACGGTGGCGGCCCAAAATGCTTTTGGGAAGGGGAGGTGGAGGAGGCATTTTCTCGGGTTGGGTTGGGCGGGATGAAGAGTCTGATTTTCGAATTGTCGAGCTGCTGTCGACCTTTATCTCAGGTATTTTGGGACGTCAAGTTTTGATTCGAATACCGCAGCACAGAGGGGAGAGAAGCATCGCCTTAATAAGTCCAAGACGAACGAACGCATCATCACATAGCTAGTCCCTTTTCAGTTATATTTGAATGTTTGCTACGTCTGTATATGCTCAAATTATTTTCGTTCCCTTTGTTTGGATGAAGCTAATTTGTCGGAATCCGACAGTGCATGGTTGAGTCGGCTTTTGCAATGGTGCTTGGGCCCGGTAAAGCCGAAAACCCTTGTGACTATCGTGGGATTCCTTTGTGTAGTGCTTAGAAATCCAACGAAATGCACTAATTCCAGGGTGCACGGTATTTGATGTCCTTATCTCCGCCTACATTGTCTCTTCTCTGCTTGAAATACATCACACGGGGATCTAAATTTCATGAATGACCAAGGTCGGTGTACCCCCTCCCCCCCTGTCAGAATGGACCTCTTATGTTTTAGCTGCTTAGAAATCAACTGAGCTCGTTGAGGTGGTTTTCTGGGCATGATGCTGACACACGAGGGGAACCACTATGTTTTGTAGAAAAGACCAGAAAGAAAAAGGAAATTGTCTATTGTACAAGGATGAAGGATGGAAGGGAACGATTTAGGCAAGAAGGTTTAAGCTCCACTGGCAACAGATCACAGCGACGGCAATATCTGGGAGGGTCAACCCGCGTCGATCTTCTTGTTATTCTGAATTAATCTTATGGCTTCTACGATGAACCGCCTGAGACAAGGGAAATCCCGTTGATTTGTGTCGGTGTCCCTGGTGTCGGAACAATAGATCATGTAATCAACTTTATTAGTCAGCGTACCACATGTTAAACTGCTGTGGTGGAGACTAGAGAATACCAGACAAGTACACAGACGTGACCCATACCATTGGTACATGCTGTTCGACCGTAATTACGTGTTCAGAGACCTGGGTCATATCATGTGACCTGAGCAGCGCTGGCATCCCGTTTAGGACTAGCTTAGTTTTGGGGCTGGGGGCTGTTGTTGCATGTGTATCTCAGTTGTATTGTTGTGGAGTTCTGTGGGTCACGACCCAATACTATAGATACAGGTCTAACCCTAATGCATGAGTAGTGCGTATCAGGGTGACAGGACAATACCATAAATACAGGTGCTCCAACAGGGGCATATCCTCTAGATCTTCTGCTGCTTCTCTCTTTTCTCCCCCCATACCCAATATCACATACGTTTTGTGTGAAACTGTCAGCCTACATATTGTAGTCATCTTCCATCTTCCCCGTTTGGGGCCTATTGGCGCCAAGAATTTGTTCTCTTACTGTACGCTAAGCATACAGTGGAGTAAGCAGTACGGAGATACCCGAAGTGGGGAAAGCGGGGACCGGAAGATCAACTGCATCATCCAAACCTGTCGATAATCATTTCTTGGTCCCCAGAACGAGTACCACGGAAAATGTGACCTTCTGTTTCCCGCCCATCGCTACCCGAAGCTCTTTGCGCAAAGTTTTCATCTCCGAATGGCTTTCCCCGGCTTGCTCCCGATAGTGAGGATACACAGAGTCAAGGTAAGCTTTCACATCGTCAGCGTCCCACTCATGGGCCCAGAACTCACGGTCCACGATGTCATGAGTGATCTCGCCATCTGCACGGCGATCGACTGGCTGAAACTCAAAGTCAAACCCCTTGGGGCTGTTGAACAGCAGCGGGTAGTCGCAATTCCACTTATGGCGCTCCACATTCTGCCACTCGCTCGCCGGCAGGGCAATAATTTCTAGAAAGCTGACTTGCCCTTCAGCTCCGTGTCGGTGGAAAGGCTCACCGGGGGCTCCTTTGAAGGGAAGCAGGAACTGGCAGATGCGCGTGGCCATGCGATCGTAGATGGCGTCACACACCGGGTCTGGGAAGATGGGACGCCCGTAAAAGTCGATGGCGAGGGTTCCCCGGGACGCATCAGGGTGTGGAAGGCTTTCAGGGCTCTGGGAGCATCGAGGAGTGGCATAAACTCGCTCATGGTGAGCAGATCCGCCTGCTGCAAGTTCGAGGGGAGACCAGCGGTGACGAGAGCCTCAGCGGGACTTCAGACAAAGGTCATCCTTTCCAGGAGGTCCGGAGACATCAGTTTCGGCGCTACGGCCAAGGCCTGCTCGCTCACATCCGAGCCTATCACTTGATCATAGTACGGTGCCAGCCTTGCGGCGATGTTTCCGGGTCCCGTGCCTACATGTGGGCTACTTCCGTGCGACCATCACTGTGGTTTGCATGGTATTCATTGATGAGGCGGAAGAATTCTTCTGAAGGCGTGGGCCGTGACGCGATGTAGGATTTTCAGAATGCGACATCGCTGCCTAGGGCGGCGGTGGTAAAGGGCGTCTCGAGACGAATTGATGTCTTTGTTTGTGACATGGCTAGATTGGAGAGGCTAGAGTCGACTATTTCGTATACAGTGAAGACGGGATGGAGTGACTGTGTAGAATAGATCCAGCATTTTATAACGCTAATCATGCATCCGAGGAAGCCTGGGCAATATCGATGACGGTTTCCAACCAAAACCGGACCCGAGCCTTGGATTTTTGTCCCACTTGGACTGTTGGTTTGGTTGTTTTTGTCTCAAAGTCAGTTCTACTGAGATTATTCTATAGTCACCACGTAGCCAAGGATTTTTTCTTGATTGGTAATACCTCTATACTCGGAAGCTTGGAAGCTTGGAAGCTCTAGTCAGATCCCCGACGATTAAAGGATTTCCCGAAAGGAAGTTATGATGGACGGCAATGAATACAATCGGATCCCGAGTACTGAAAATAGTCTCTTATATAGACTATTGAATAAGGTAAGGTTGAAGGGTATAGTCATTGTTTCTAGAGAGTCACTTTTACTATGTTCATACAGCGACTGCTACCTCTAGGGATCCTCCTGTGGCCCACCTCTGTTGGGGGAAATCCTACTAAATGCGTTCACTACCCACATTCGAGAAAGTGCTGGCTACCTGGCTTCGATATTACCGACTATGAGAAAGAAATCCCCCCCGGTGGATTAGTCGAGGTAAGAGCCCTACTTCCTGTCACTATCGTGATTATCATTGATGTTTCCCACAGTACGAGCTCACTGTGTCTAATCAAGTCATCTCTCCGGATGGATACCTGACTAATGGAATGGTGATCAATGGTATTTCAAGTTCCTGTTATAGTCCTTATTAATGCACTAGTGACTGACTCCCCGTAGGGCAATACCCAGGACCAACCATTGAGGCGAATTGGGGCGACACTTTGCGTGAGTAAACCAGGCTATCTATCTCGCATGGAACTAAAAATCGACTAGAAATCACGGTCCATAACAACTTGACCTATGATAAAGGGACCGCCATACACTGGCATGGAATCCGCTAAGCCATGACAAATTGGTTGGATGGGATTCCAGGAGCGACACAATGTCCGAGCAAGGTGAGACCTGAACATCCTTGGGCATTGACTGATCAAGATGCTGACGCCAATTCAGCCACGGTCGTCGCAAGTATATGAATTCAGAGTTATGCAGTGTGGCACTTCGTGGTACCATTCCCCCTACCGGGCTGTTACTACGAAACATCCAGACACGAATGGGGTTCATAGTGAGGAATTTACCTCCCAAATAGGGAATAATAAATAATGACAACCGACAGGGGCGATAAAGATCCACGGACCAAGTAGCATGGACTATGATGTCGACTTAGGCCCAGTTTTGATGAGCGATTGGTACCATGAAGATGCGTTCGCACTATATCCCACTGAGATCTTGACACCACAGGCACCCCTTCCGGAAAGTAATGTCATGAACGGGAAAGGGGTCTTTGATTGCGATCCATTAACAGACTTGCGGTGCACTGACAAGCACGAGCGACACGAGATAATCTTCAAAAAGGGAACCATATACAGACTTGGTCTAGTGAACACGGGAATTCTTCTTACAAATTTTGGATTGATGGGCATAACTTCACTGTCGTTCAGAATGACTTTGTGCCCATTCAACCGTACGAGACGGATGTTTTGATTGTTGGAATTGGTATGTAAAAATGTATCTTAGCCTCCATATTTGAAACTAATCATGCCAAGGACAACGATTTGAGATTGTCATCAAGGCAAATGCCAACTTCACCCACGGGACCAACTTTTGGATGCATGCAAACTACTGTGACAATGACACCTGGGAGTCCCGACTCGGTATCATCCGGTATGATGCTCTGAATACCAGCAATCCCCATACGTCCCCTGTGAGCGAGCAGCACTACGGATTCGGCTGTCAGGATCCCCCACCAGAGAGCCTTTTCCCCATTGTGAAGAGGCAGGTGGGTCAAAACGTGAACAGCTTCGACACACCGGACTACCTGCGCACCGGACTGTAGGCATGGCCCAACGTGACGGATCCCAATTCACGTATCCACACACGGCTTTTAACATCGTTGATTGGTTGTATACAAAGTCTTTCCCACACATCCTTGCTGCTCGAGGCACCAACTCTAGTCATGTGGCCCGAGCTCACAGATCTCATCCGGTAAAATGAACGAATTTCCTCACCGTTGAGTCTGAGGTGTGAATCCCCTTTTGACCTAATTTATTGACCTAACCCTTAAAGCAAAGCCTTCTCATCAAATTTCGTCTATTGTCTTTTATCTTGGTTCGTCTTTAATCTTAGAAAGATACAGGACTGATATATTACATTTGAACTCCACGAAGACGTTGAAGAGACAACATCAAAGCATAAATTTGAAGTTCTGAATTTCCGAGCCAAATTTTGACGACTAGGCTACAAAGATATCGGCTTTCATTATGTCTCTCGATGTGGTTGGCAACCTGGCGAAGGATACGACTGGTGGTAATGGGACTATACACTGCATAGATAGCCAGGTACTGTTACACGAGCTACCCAGATTAATGTTCGACCTGACCATCCGCAGAACCAGGCCGCCAACCCTCTAGCCCCACTTGTACAAGGCAGTTCCGAGAAAGCCAAATTTCCAACCTTATCAAATCCTATTATACTCGATGGCGGTATGTCGCGGGAGTTGATGCGCCTAAATGCACCCTTCCGTCAACCCGAATGGTCTGCACTTGCGCTGATAGAAGCCCCACATCTTGTTGAGCAAGTTCACCGCGATTTTGCGACCGCTGGCGCCGATGTCCTGACCACAAACTCTTATGCGCTGGTTCCGTTCCATATCGGCGCCGAGAGGTTCGAACAGCATGGCCAAGAGCTAGCAGGGCTTGCAGGGCGTCTAGCAAGAAGCGCTGCAGATCATGAAAGGATAAGAAGTAAGAGAAGGGTTTTGGTTGCAGGCTCCCTGCCACCTGTGTTTGGGAGTTATAGACAGGATCTATTTGATGCTGAAAGGGTGGACAGTTATTTGGAAGTCCTGGTGCGAGGTCTTTCACCGCACATTGATATATGGTTAGGGGAAACGCTCAGCTCAATCGCGGAGGCCAAGGCTGTGGAGAGAGCGGTTATGAGGACCGGTAAACCACTATGGATCGCTTTCACCCTGAATGACAACGAAGAGTCGACTCCCGCAGCATCCCTGCGTTCGGGTGAATCTGTGAAAGAAGCAACCTGTTGGGCGTGCAGCTCCTCAGCGGAGAGCCTGTTATTCAATTGTAGCAGGCCTGAGTTCATGGATTCAGCTCTCAATGATGCGAAAAGCGTTATTTCGCAGCAAAGCCGCAGTATTCCACTAGGTGTCTATGCGAATGCGTTCGAGCCAAAGCCAAGACCCCACGCTGCGAATGAAGTGATCATGCCAACACGGGATGATATGAGTGTTAAGTCATACTCAGAATTGGCCTGGGGATGGGTCGCAAACGGAGCTACTATCGTTGGTGGATGCTGTGGAATTTGCTGTGAGCATATCGCGCAATTAACGCAAGACGTTCGGAGCTAGGAAGAACTCAATGATTACCTCGCACTAAGAGATCATTAAAGAGCTATAGTTAGTCATTATCCTATTATCAGCTCTGTGCCTTGAAATATGTTTTTTCTTGGACCGACCAGCTTGCTCTTAATAGCGTCAAATTCTTGTAGAATAATACTAGTAAATAACAGCGGCCGCCGTCGATGATCGCACATCATTTTCATAAACCACTTATTAGACACAGTAAAAGCGTTCAAATAGCGTCAAATAACAGCTTTTAAGCGTTGGTATTTATATATAGTATAGTAACCAGAATTCGTTAAGTAGAAGCTTAAATAGGAGCTTCCCCGCGAATTTATAGAGATAATGTGGGTCAAAACAAAGAAGTTGTGGGTGGTAATGAAAGTGGCAGAAAAATATTACTACGATGACCGGGTGGAAATTTGACATTGGGTGTTTTCCGAATTCGGCATTGGGGGGAGTGACGGTATCAATTTAGTGAGTGACTGTATAAGGTCCCTGATCTATTCGCTACAGGTTATACTACATCTAGTATTGATTTTGGGATTAATAGTGTCATACAGAAAATGCTAAAAATCACTAAAAACCCACTCAGGGTGACCAGATAGGTTAACCACTCACCCCGTCACCCCGTCACCACTAACTTTCAGTTGTCATTAAGGAAAGGATGGTTCTGCGGTACCTATGCTGCAGGACTGCCTAGACCTCCATCGCGAGGACCCCGTTATGCTCATTGTGGCCACTAACCATTCTTTCCAGTAAAATGCCTGAAAGTGGTGCAAGGAGGGTTTGCAATACATTCACAACAGATTGAACCTTTCATTAGCTAGATTACTACAAATTGCTAACGTGCCACTGTGCAATTCCAAGGCCGACCAAGGCTTTCGCTTTAATCTATACAGTTTGCATTTTAGGCCAGCCAAAAAATGTTAGATGGACAAGAACCGTGCACCGCAAGTGTAAAAGGAGACTGAAATATCAGTAAGTGCAAGGCTGAACGGAATGTTACGTTGACAAGAATTCAGCCACGCGAGAATTAACTGAGTTAGACGATTGGTCCCGAATGCTGGGCAGGCTTTGCTTGATTATGTATATTTATGCACCCACGCGTAGAATGCCCTCTAAGGAATGAAGTCTATTATGAGTTAGAATGTAGGTATGCCTTTTGAAACATTGTGTTACGAGATATCGAGGGTACCCAAGGATACACAACACCACGATGAAACTATGTATGTTGCGCATCTACACATTCCATGCTCAGTAGGCTGCATTAGTAAGTAGTGAAATATTTGGCAAAGAAATATTATAGTACCTACACCTTAAAAGTATATAAACATGTAGGTCCCTATCGGCAAAGATATTGGAATCAACTCATCAGCGCAACTACGTTGGTCAATCTTGTTTTCTTCAAACTTCCAATACCCTTCCAGTGACATCTCAGGCAAGCATCAGCAAATCTGCCCAAATCACCACAAAATGACGAAAGTCACAGTTATTCTCACTGCACTTTTCGCGTCTTCTGCTATGGCGCTGTCTATTCCAGACCAGTACGGTGTGATAGGAAACATCACCGCATGGCTTGGCGATATTGATTGTGTCAACCTCTTCCTCGAAAGAGCCGCAGCAGGGCTGAGCACCGACAATCTCAGGGATGAAGCTGTGATTGCTTGGACCTGTGCTGAAGATGAGCCTACTCGTTTAAATGATCTGAAAGAGCTTCCCGGACTTTCCAAGGCAGGTCGAGACGCAGCGACAACATTAGGAGAAGTGTTTCCAGCTGTTCCGGGGAACCTCACGGATATCATCGCTCACCCTGGTGATAAGAGAGAGGTCAAGAAAGACCTCGAGAACATCAACACGTTACGGTGCACCCAGGTGTTGCCTAATATCGATGTTCTTTGGGCTGCGGCCGCCGACTTGGCGAAATGGCCGGCTGTTCCTGCTGTGCCACGTCCGACTACTTGTTAGTAATCCTAGGCAGATCGTTTTAAAGTCTTCGATATTTTGACCCTCTGCAATACGACAACTATCAAGCGATATGCCCAAGATATACGCAACTATCTCAAGGGAAAGGATATTCTGAATGGATCACCATTGGCTTCTGACACATTGTTGTCAGGGAGCAATTTTTTTTTTTTTTTTTTTCGTTTTATTTTTGCTATTCATGTAGCAAAATCGGAATTTGGGATATTGAGACTGGAATATGTCAACTTATTGGCTTATATATCTTGATATTTCGGTCCGCGTTATTGTTGTAGGAAGCAGCTGAAGTTCGTTGTTCACTTTTCATGTTAAATATTGTCTCGATATAGGTTTTCTCCTATTCCATAGGTTTTCCTTATATCTCCAATGCAAATGCAGAGACTGTTTTTATCATTTGGTTCCTCCTCCCTTCACCCTTTTGATACTTGCGCCTAATAGTACTGAAGGTGCCAATTTATAGGTTCAGTTATATCCTGATTCGCTCAATCTTTAAATTATAGTAAGTATAATCCCTATTCAGGGCTCCAAGGCGCCTTTACCTGGTATATATGATAACTTGGATGATTGTAGACTTGATTTAGTCTCCGAGGTCGGGATTATATATAGTGTTGATATACTATTACTGACTTTAGTAGCGGATGTTACGTGGGTATCGCTTAATACTAGAGTTTAGAGGGTAATCTTATTCATATTATAAATATAGAACCCAGTAAGTTCATTAGCGTATATAGGCTATTTTTTGTTAGGCAGACCTAGACTTTGAAATGCCCGTGGGCCTGTCCAGGTGGACAAAAAGTGATTTGTCCATGGCAGGAAGCCCGTGAAAAGGTTGGTACCCCATCGAAAAATCTCCCTATAACTACCTTTTCTGGTACTTGAAATGCTTTTAAATTCAGTCTGTGCATGAACGGAGGGTGTTACCAAAAATATAAAGAATAAGCTTCCCCCAAGGGCAGAGTGTATATCCTTTGCACTCATGAAGATTAAATCCCTTAGACCCTAACCCACTTTTTTTTTTCTCCATACTGAAGTAGTCCCCTAAACCCCTTGGTGTCCAAGGGAATTACCTCTATGGGTTAGGCATGAAACTAAAGACTAGTATTGCTTCGCTTCGCATCGCATTAAGACAAGTTAAACACCCCAGTCCTAAGCAGGTTGATCCAGGCCTCAAAACGCATCTCCTCTCCATCAAACAGCACTGATCCCTTGCCGACTTTCTTCGGCCGTGGAGGCACATGGACCAAGCTCTTGACATGAATGGAATTCCATGACTTGCTGGCCATAGTCCCCTCCGCTAGCGGTTTAACTCAGTCTTGACAGAACATATTGAATTAGATGCTACACAACAAAGAGTTATCAAAGCTTGACCACGACATGGCCCATCGCACGTCCACGCCATGAATTTGAGAGGGTTCTCTTCCAGGTACAAGCCCAGGGCGTAGGCTACAATAACGAAATTTTTGGTGTCTCCGGTAGCGAGGAGTGCATCCATGAGACATTGGAGACCCATTATGTCATTCTCAGGATTATTGTCGGACAAAACGTAGATGCCATATTTGATAGATGGTCTGACGAGAGCGCGGGCGTCCGTTTGTTGCCCCTTCAAGCGGTGGTTGACACCGAGACAAAGAGCCGTCCTGGCTCGCAAAGTGAAGGTGGAGGAATTTTCATCACCCCTGGCTTGCATCGCAAGCTTCTCAAGCTTCTTCGCCGCCTCTTCAGCCTCTAGCGTGATAATCCCGGCATTCACGGCCTCTAAGAGATTGTGCTGGGCGAGCCAGTAGGAAGCCGACAGCTTAACGATTCCGATCCTGGTCTCGTCGTTGGACGAGTCATAGGTGTTCATTGGAGCCATAGGTGTTCATTATAGCTTCCCACCGTTTCACAGCCTTTGCCTGGTCGTTCAAAAACTCGCTGTAGATGGAAGCAAGACGCAGTTCCAGATTGGCCGCGGTCGCCGTTTTCAAAGCCTTACGAGCCGCTTTTGCTGCAACTTGCCAGGACTCGACCACTAAGTTGAGACTGTCCGTAGCCAATGCGGCATTTGAGGCGTAGCTGAAGAACTCTTCTGAGTCGAGCCACACCATTTGGGTCAACAGAGAGTAGTCCTCATCTGGGACAGGGGTTTCTGCCAACTGAGTGAGCAAATCAATCGTTGCATGGTGACGTTGATTGCTATTATGATGTTCGAGAAGCACGTTGATACACGTGTTGCAGTAGGGTTTGTACTCGTACGCCCTCGTAAAGCTCTCAAATCGTTTCTCCAGATACCCAAGCTGCTTATAGCTGTTGCCCATACTCTCGAGAATAATATGAAGCTGCAGCTTGAGCCCTCCCTTCTCCGGAGCCGCTTTGATCTCCTCTGAAACTTTCTTCACAATTTCCTCGTCCAGTTTGATCGCCTTTTCGTATTGCTTTTGCAGGTTATACGTGAGCGCCATCCCAGTCCTGGTAAGCCACTCATCCGGATCCAGCACCAGGGCCATGGAGAGATACTCCAGGGCCGTATCGTAGTACCCAAATCGCCGAAGAGCCATTGCACAGCGTCGATACAACAGAGCGGTCTTCTCCAGATTACCAAACTCAGCAGCCTCAATGATCTCCGCAGCACTGGGGTCGAACTTTTTCGCGGAATCGACCTCTTTGCCCTTGTTAAGGGTTTGGTAGCTCCAAACCGCGACTAATAAGGGATATTCATGCCAGATATCGTCGCACAACCAGTTCTTGACACAAAACATGACCACTGGCTTGAACGTCATTATCGGGTTTTCTTCAGTAGATGATATAAATTCTCGTTCATTATCAGAGAGGGACGTGATAACCTCCTCATCTTCCCACCACTGCCGGACGGCTTGGATTCTGGCGTTTGTCGACACTCAGCTGAAACGGTTCCATACTGATATAACCTCCTCAGATCTGAAAACTATTAGTAGCAGCTTTGCAATATCTTTCCTGTCCTCAAGTGAGCATTCTGATGGCGAAGTGGTAAAAAGATGATGAACCCAGTTCCCTTCGGCATATATGAGCATCGTATTTGAATCATCGGTTTTGTTCGCAAACTCGCTGTCGGTAAGTAACCGTAGGAAGGTCCTGAGGACGTGGGCTTTGGCTTCATGATAATTCACACCAACTGCAAGATGACCTTTCCCGGCGGACACCTTGCCCTCTGTCTCGTCGCGGAAGAAATCGCCAATAGAGGCATGGCAGAGGGTGACTGTAGTCGTCTGCAGGTCGGAGTTAAAATCGGTGAAGTTGTCGGCATCTTCGAAGACATCCTGCTCGTTCTCATCCTTTTCGTCGTCAGACCGATCGAAGACGTCAGGCTTCGTCGACCTGTTCTGAAATTCCGTCGTCACAAGAGCGTCCTCCCAGTCGAGTGTGGAGAAAGAATAAGCGAACTGTCGGCGAAGAGCGCCTTCTAGATAAATCATCCCATCGACTTCTGGCGATTTTAGCTTGAGAATCGCGTCGATTAGGCCGAGAGTTAGCGGCTGCTGGGAGCAAGTAACCCACTGTAGCATCTCGTTGAGATACTCGAGCTCCTCTTCTGTAGAGCTCATCGAAAAGTTGGAGAGGACATGACGAAGGATCTCCTTCAGGCCCCTGGGAGGATCGTCCAGAGCTTTCCGTATGCTGCTCCCATTTCGTTCCTTCACCAGCTCCTGTAGCATGAGATCAGACTAAAGGAACATTCCCTTAGCCCCCATAGACAGCTTCTCAACTATCCCTTGGCGCGGTTTCGCCAAAACCCTTCGAAGGATAACAGACTTCTTGATACTTGCATGAATGTGCTGGTTGATGTCGCCGGAGTTCTTCTGCGTCGTAACATGGTTGTTTGGAACTTCCAACTCGAGACCTTCCAGCAGCTGGTCGCTAATATGGTGACGACCCACGATAGCCAGCTGCAGACGAGGACTTTCAGGAGCATCGTATAGATCCTTTGCTAGGGTGAGAAAGATTTTGCGTTCCTCGTCCGAGTCCTCGTCCACGGCATCCAGGAGTATGTAGACACTGCTGTTGACGTTTGGCTTTTTCAGGAAGTAATCCATAAACAGCAGGCGCCATGCACTCTCTAGGCTGCTGATCATCTCATATTGCTCAACCATCACGATATTTGTCTGGTAGACGGGGTCGCTCTTGCCGATTTGGAAGGCGAGATCCCGCAACGCCTGATGAATCGAGCTTGTGTCGGGGTTGTCATCCTTGAAGAACTAATACCCCACGGAAATGAGCTAGGTACTCTGCAAACACTGTCGATACGGCTCGCGAAGGAAGCTGATGATATTCGTTGATATATACGACTTGCCTGCGCCGGGGTTGCCGGAGACAAGGATAATGGGCGTGTCCCCGCTCAGCCAGCCCTGGAAGATATCCTCGTTCCTTACCCAATCGCCTGTCCCCGGGAGCCGGGCCTTGTTGATCTTGTACCAGTCCTGAGCGAGATTCACCATCAAATCTTGAATGGCATCATACGAGGCCTTCACGCCCTTTGCAGCACTACCAAGTACATGACAGCGCCAAAGACCAAATTGCTGGGAGGGAACGCCATCGAAACGCCTCCTGCCTCAAGATTCCCGAACAGTTCCACCGGGATTAATGCTGTCTTGAGAACATCAAGCATAACCCCACGCTTCTCGCGAAAGTCGCTGAATTTCGTATTTCTTGCATCGATCTCACTCATAGATCATCGAATTTTTGGATTCTTTCCAGGAATTCGACGTCGAGTGTGTCGTCGGTGATTTCGCGATACTTTTTGATGGCCCGGCCGTAGATGGCGGGGTTTGATTCTTAAGGCCAGTCATGAGATACAGTGTCATGGATTTCCCCTCCAACTCATGAATCAAATTCTGCGGGGATTAAAGCCATCTTATTTAAAGCTAACGATAAGCGAAAAAGCCTGACAAAACTATTTTTAAAGTTTCTGACAGCGCCATTTTCAGCGAACCAGTCGCATAGAACTGACTTATTTAATTCTGATTTGAAGTTTGTATAATTCTGTTGGCTTCAGCCGGGGCGGGGTAATGAGACGTGAAAGAGCCTCTTAAGGAGGGGCAGATCATCTCTTCCTGCCAATCAGTACCGCCCCGCTGAAGGGCTAGCGGGCGCACCGCAGATGCATGATTGAAGACGACGAGGCAGCAGTTTGAATAAATGCTGGGAAAAGAGAATAATTTAGTTTACTGGCTGGACATATGGCAGCGGAGACTTATTCCGTCGTCTGTGCGCGTGAAATTGCTCCTGCGCTGCATAATGCGACTTCTTCGCTTAGCCATTCTATAGGGGCATTTACGAGGACGAACCCACAGCAATACTATGTCTATATGAATTTAATTTAATATTAATGAAAAGCTTATAATCATAGTATCCTAGAAAATCTTTTACCTTTTAAATTGGCTGCCTATAGCCTATGTTATTGAAGTTTAAAGTTAGTAAACTTTGGTAGTTTGGCAGGAGGCTTAGGCTGTGCCATAACCCGCAAGAACCCGTATCCGAACCCGCTCATCCTCCCTGTGGGTAGGGAAATAGGTCGGTCTGTTTAACCTGTATGCGGGTTGCGGGTCCTAATGGGAAACCCGCCCGGTTTTATAGGTTATCTAATGGGTTGTTTAATAGGATAAATACAGAAATAGCTCTCTCTCAGGCTTCGGTAGGACCTAATTTGGGTCCAAGTTTTGGACCCAAGACCTACTTGCAGACCTGAATGGTAGAAAGCCTCACCGCACGTTCCCATATTGTACTCGAACTGGTATACTTTACACCCGAACGGGAATATCCAGTGACACCGGCTGCTATTTCAGAGGGTGTGGAAGTTCTTAGATCCCTCCTCGAATTCAAAGCGGATTTATATGATCTTGACAAACGGCTGAGCGAATGCGATGCAGTTGATCTACGCGGTTCAATTATTTTTAATGCAGCTTAACGAGCGATGTAAACTACTCTACGAAGTCTAGGTAGTAGGCCTTCTTTGACGGAGCTAGTCAGCACAGCTATACCAATATTTGAAAAAACGGTGAGGCCCCTCGACCTGTCTATATCAGCGGATAACGATACTATCGAGTTGGCCCTTTCTGGACCTCACTTGCGTTGGGAGACCACTGGCTTATGCCTTACCCAAATCGGATCATATATCGTAAAAATGAGGACTAATAGCCAAATCTTCTTGCCTCTTGGGTAGTTGAGCTTCAACCGGCAAAAGGCTATGATCAGGGTATTTGACGCTTGCATGAAAGTATGTGCACTTTGCGAGTAAGTCGAATAGGTAAATGACCTCCCGTTATGACTTTTGGTATCGTTATCCGCTCTTGCGTCTTGGTGCTTTGGAGATGATTCTTCACGTGCATGGTGCTTGATAGGCAATTTAGCATCAGCTATAGCGGCTCTTGGCTTCCATAAGGGTTTCAATGAGGAGTCGAAGCCCCCATATTTGGTAGAGCTTCGGAAAAGAGTCATGGCTCTTGCCCAATAAGGTGATAAGGAGGTAGCAACTTTCGTGGGTCGGCTACCCCGCCTTAGTCGACGGTACTATACGATGGATTTACCACTTGACTTGCCTGATTCGATAAGTATCGGCCCAGTCGAGCAGTTCGAAATTGCTAGGGCAAACCTTGACAAGAATGGCTGGAGTGGGAATGTGATGGTAAACCCGGTATCACGTTTTCGGGCCGTTCTACTACTTAGCATGATCTGTGAAGAAGTCTTGGAGCTTTCAATTGGTCCACAAACACCAAACATTGCTGAAAAAGCTAGGTAATCGCAGCCCGATCCATAGTAGCGATTTAGAGGCTGAAACCCCCCCCCCCCGAGAAATATTATCGAAATTGACTTTGACTTGGCAATCAATTTTCCAAATACAATTTGAACGGTCAATGTGTGAAACCAAGCTACCAAGTGCCATCTGGGTCGTTTCAGGTCCTCGACTTGATTACCTTTATACCAAAATTCTCCTCCACAAATTACTAATTACTCACACGGAAGGCAATCGCGAAAGGATGATCCAGACATCGCATGATATTCTGTATTTAGCGCTGTCGCTTATGAAAAAGCATGATCTGATAGCTACGCCAAACCTGGAGTGGTTGGTAGGGTGCCATATTCTTTTTCTCATTGAGGCTGGAGACTGATATTGAACATAGATGGTGGTCTACGCAATGCTAGGCGCCAGCATACTCATCTTAGAAATTTCCGAGAGAAACGCCAACGTCATCGGTCTACGGTGTTGAATCGGTCGACTTTAATTCGGGACATCGGTGTACTCATCTCATGCTGTGACTCGCTAGCTATATCTGGACAGAGCAACTATCAGATCTGCAAGCAAGCCCAGGAGGATTTTTCACGGTGTCTAGACCAGATGTTGAATGCAAATGAGCTATGCTCACATGGCTTAACGAGACAGGCTGGAGGAGAAGAAGCACAGGAGCCTTTCTCCCTATCTTCGATGAACTTTAGTCTGACAGATCTGTATCCTGAAAATCCAGAATGGTCTACTTGACTTGAGTCTTTCGACACATACGAATGATGAGATGAGATTGTTGCAAAATTCTCAAAATTCATTGTGTTAATATGGTTCCGGATAAATGGACAATCATTATCATATCTGATAAGTTAGTTGACGTGTTAAACCCGATAAAAACTCAACATTGAAAGCTTAATACCGTTTTAAAACAGCCAGGTATATCTCAAATAATTCCCATAATGCACTATGCAGTCAAATCCCGAGTGACAGTCGCCTTAAATCCTGGACTCTTCTCTTTTGGAAAGCCAACCTGGTAGTCCCTGTAGGTTTCTATATCTTCAAGTGTCGTTTTGTAAAGATCCATATCAAATTTCCGCACCCGAGTAGCAACAAATAGATACAATTCTGCCGTAGCGAGGCTGCGTAGTGTAGATCAGTCAACGTTAAGATTTTTGCAGAACAGGTGGCTCTTACTTGATAACAAGACATTGCCTAGGTCCGTTAGAAAAGGTTACCAGCATGCTTTCTAGGCGGTCACCGTTCTCTTGCGCCCGAATCGAGCGCTCGGGGCTGAAACAATGTGTATGAGGGAACAACTCAGGGTTCATGTGCACAAAAAGGCTGGACAGGCTAATCATGACCTGCAGGCAAGGTCAAGGGCTAAAGTATTCGTTTCCGATTCTGAGAGCTCTCACTTTTAGTGGAATCACCCACTGTTTGTATGTAAGTCCAGTGCCTGTCGGTACACACCGGGGTAACCGACCAATAGCGCTAGCAAGCTGAAGTCCTTCATTTATCACTCCCCTCTAAATCAACTTATTGGAGTATATGGGGTCGGGTCAGCTGACCCCCTCCGTTTGTCAGCGCTTGCATGTCTTTAGCTAGATCTCTCTCTCTCTTTCTCTTTCTCTCCTCCATACCTCTCGGAATACAGATCTTGTCCCTTTCTTCTGCTTCCACGCTACTATGTAGCCCTTTCTTCCCCTGGACAGCAGATCAGCTGCCGACGCAACTCAATGTCTTAATGCAGCCCTTGTTCAAAAGCTTTATACAGCATGACTTACAATGTAGGGTATTGCTTCCACTTCTGTAAGTGAAGCGCTGGGGGATGGTCCAAGTTCATTGCAAAGTTTAACCATTTGGTCTTTTCGGAGCAGATGGAAGAAGATGGCCCTTAGTACTCCCGCAGTAGTCACAGTCCCTGCGTTAAGCAAAGAGAAGGCCTCATCGCGTATCCGAGTAGGGGCCCTTTCCTCGTCAGGTATACCGGGATCAGTGAGAGCCTCAAATTTCTTTTTTTGGCTAAGCCTTCCTTACCACTTTCTTTCAATGCGATTTTGGCCTGTTCAAGGACCAACTCCCGTACATAGAGGATGTTTACTGCCGCTGGAGAAAGTTCTTGCTGAATCTTCCTAGATATTTCCAATACAACAGATAAAGGGACAGGAAAAATATCATCAAATGGAAAATAGTCAATATACTCAACGACGAATCTCTGAATTAATTCCCGAAATCTTCGTGATCCAAGTAGTCAAGGCTAAACCCGTAATACTCGCCGATTACATCGGACGCGATAGCTGCAAACGCGTTATCGAGACTGAAGTATGTGCCTACTTAACAAGCCATTTTGATTCTTTGCGCAAGCTTGTCTACTTTTTTTGAATCATGGACTCTAGCCCCAGAATAGACTATTTCGAGAAGAAATTGTGTAGGATAGCGCGGCGTGAAGCATAAAGTTTGTGGTCAACTGTGAAGAGCATGGAATCTTATGTATCACCAAGTCTAGTGAACTTAGGGTTCTTATCACGCAGTTTTGGCGCATATATTTCCGAGTGAAAATGCGGGTCCGCGATGTGAAGCTCGTTGGAACCGATTCGGACAATGGAACCTTGACGAGTTGATACCAGCTTACCTATCTCACTACTTAGAGCTGCACTTACCATAACTATGATGCATCTTTTATAAAGTCGAAGTAGAATCCGTTAAAGCCCGTAATAGCAGCTAGCTTGGGCCCTGGAAACTTGCTGATGGGGTGAATATATAGGCAATATATGGCCACGAGAAGAACATAACCAAAGATGGTAACAGATAGCATGAGCAGCATGATAAATCGACTTCAGTGCTGTTATTGATATATATTTGGGCGTTTGAGAATTCAAGACCGGCTGCCAGTGATAAAGCTGACTTCCAAGCTCCCGTTGAATGGTGGGGGTATATATAACCTAAACTGGGCGATAAGACAGCGAAGAAACAATTCGACCAAGAGGCAAAAACACAGATTAGCTTACGAAACCTCCTCTTCAGACCTCGCGGTGGGACAGAAGCACAAGAACCAATCATAGCGTGTGATAATTTACAAAAGGTGCAGATGGGAGAGCGCCCCACACTGCACAGAGAACCTATCAGCAGGAAGACATCAGGTAAATGGTCCAAACAGGAGTGATGCTTGGACCCCTGTTTGGATTGCCTACGATCTCCTCTTTCACGCCAATGACTAGCCATATTTTGGATCTCTCATCATATTTGCTGCTCTTCCAATTCACTATAACCACACCATCTTTGCCAATGGGAATGCACGATGCAGCACAGGTCACACGATAGACAGAATACGAGGTTTGGACCCGGGAAAACAATGAATGCTTTTCCTCTGTGTGCTTATATGCACGCCTTTATAGTGTTTTCCGCCCAATTGTATCCGATCAAAAAAATTCAGAGATTACCAAAAAAGGGGGAGGACATTTGGCTTCAACTTCCACCTCACCTGAACCAGTGGCCTTATATATTGAAAGTGAGGTAAATTCTTTTTTATAATTTCCTTGGACCAAGTCTTCCAACGGACGGTGTCCACAGGCGAGTAAAAACAGGTCAAGAACAACAGACATCGCATTTTTAAGGTACTTCAGAACCTGCGCGCTGGGCAATTAAACCACAGATAATAGGCCTAATCACTGGGCCGAAGAGAGAGCCAGTCATAAAGAGCGCAGTTGCCTGTTCTTGTTGTTGAAGTGGGGTTGATTTATCTTACCCCGTAAGGTTATCTATCGAAGGCATGTGGATCATCGTCTCAATCCACACGTTTGAAATGCATTTATGGAGGAAATATCACCGGGCCCGGACTGATGAATAATTGGTGGATCCGCCTAGAATGTCGGTCTTGATGATTATAGATCCGTACAAATCCTGCCACGAACAGGCAAATCAAAAGCCGCCTAACACACAGGTCGCCTCACAATGCCTGCCTACACTAGAACTCCGACTGGTATCCCGGTATCAGGGGCGCCAAAACAGAAGTTTCAGATAGCCATTTTCGGCACCTTGTTTAACGTCAACTAGCGTTGAGATGTAATTCATTGCAAAGCTACGTACCTACACGATGTGTCAATCGATCAAGGGACATGGAATATATCTATTCTACACGCGGAGATAACTGAGAACACCTTAAACCCGAGAAAATTTCCCAAGCTTGCCAAGAAATTTTATCCGCTATGCACACGGAGATAACAAAAATCCTTAAATCCGTAGGTACTACGTAGCATTGAACGCTCCTGGATATATGATCAATAACGGAGCATCCTGCACTGTATTTTGCATATGAATCTATATCAAAGTCTTCCACATATTACGAAGTTCACAAGAACCAAAATGGAAACAACTTTCCCGGCTCCTCTCCCAGCCGCTCTCCCCTCATTCACCACCCCCGAGGCTATCACTGACACCCTCCACCGTGCCGTCCTCGCATTTGACACAGCGGACAGAAGTCTCCTCGAATCCTCTTTCTTATCTGATGCAGTCTTTGATCTTGATGGCCGTGTCATGAACGGTATGGACGAGGCCCGCACCCAGTGCTTTGACATTGTCTCAAAGCTGGACACCACCCACTTTGTCAGCAATGTCCGTATCGACTACGTCGAGGGAGCATCTACCGCATCAATGACTGCTTCTGCACTCTCCCAGCACTATCGACCGAATACCGGGAAAACACCTGGTGCGACGAACTTTATGGGTGGCTCTCTGTATTACCTCGACGTTGTTCGAGATACAGACGGATTATGGAAGATCAAGACTTGGAGAATGAAGCTTATATGGACTACTGGAGATGTAGGAGTTATGACTGGAGATTAATGAGAAAATGTCCAAATATATATCCCCTAACAGTAGCTACAGCATTTCCCTGTATCTAGGCTGTGCCGTAACCCGCAGAAACCCGCACCCGAACCTGCCCTATCCTCCCTATTGGTCGGGTTTTGGGTTAGTCTATCAAACCTGTATGCGGGTTGCGGGTTCTGATGGGAAACCCGCGCGGGTTTAAGGGTTACCTAATGGGTCGTTAAATAGGATAAATATAGAAGTTTATGTATAAAACTGTATATAAAAGTGGTTTGTTATATAAAAAATTGGATTTATCTATCTTATCTATGTATAGTGTCTAGACTTCTGTATGGGCCGGCCTAATGGGCTTTTTTCGGCCCATTGCTGCCTGATTCTGCCTGATTTTTTGATATAAACTGCTGACTTATCTCTGTTATTTACCTACGTTTTTATATAAATATATACTACTTGCCTTACTTTCTATCTTCTTACGTATAGTTTTATGAAATATCCCTTTCCTATAAAAGAACTTGAGAGCCTGTTCCGTCTGCTTTTTTTGAACTAAATGAGCTCTTTTTTTGAACACTTTGATCCCTATTAACCAGGACTAGGGTTATCACGATGCTCTCCCGGGTGCCTACATTCTCTATTCTAGGCCTTGTTATAGTGTGGCTTATTTATTTTACGAGCCTAAGCTATATAGCCTATTCCGTTTCTTATAGTCATTTACACACACACCATCGAAGAGTCAATCTTTAAGATGTTAACGGTATCATTAACAACGGGCTCAATGAACGTGCTCATGCCTACGAAAAGCTGTTTTTGTGGGAGGCCTATAAAATAATTGGGTATTTTATCACCGAGCGGGTTTTGCCTTCTTAGAGTATCTATCAAATATTTGAGTTGTTCATGACTAAGTTTTCGGTTATTTTAATATAGTTAACTTAAGGGTTACGATAAACAAAAGCTTATACTTCCTTTCCGCTTAAAGAACGACGGAACACTACTTGTCTCGGCCGGGCGAGATAATTAACATCTAATAACTATTAGCGGCTCGAAGACGTCGACAAATTATCCTTTAGAGTATCCTGAATTTATGCTAAGATGAGGCGGCAAAAACACGGTGGTCGAGACTCTTCCTAACATAACGCCGCCAGATTCTAAGGAAGATCTTGTGAGAGCAGAACAGGAGTTAACTGATAACCATCTCGATAGGCTCATTAAGATGAAAGAATTTAACCCTTTCCTCAAGATAGGTGACAGCATTTAAATTCATACTCGATTTATCAAGAAAGTCACGGAAAATGTGGGACTTGATCAGAAATGATGCGGACAAGTCTAGTATTGGGGATGTTTCCGAACGTCTTGCTCGCGCTGATATGATTAGTCAACGAATGATATCCCTCAGAAAAGCCTCGATAATCAACTGGATGATCAAGTATCTAACTAGAGACGATGGTTACAATCTCCAAACAACTGATGACGGTACAACCCGTACCACTGTTGCGACTGTGGACGACGCAGACACCGGAGTTCCAGGTAAAGAGGAGATATCCGAATACCAATCAATCGACTTTCCAGCAACCTTTGCCGATCCACTCAACACTAAGAAGATTCAAGGGAAGAATATTAAAAGTGGAGTCGACTTTCAGACCTGGGTGAGTCTCCCTTCTTTCAAGGTATTATGTAATAAGCCCTAGAGGTACTAACTATATATTAATATATAGGCCAATGAGCTTAGAGAAGTTTTACCCAATACCAAGGGTCCTGCTGCGAGCGACTCGAGTATGAGCTATTGGCAAGAGATCGTCGCTTAGGAGGATAAATCTTGGATAGATAAGTGTTGATCCTCCAGATGTCGAGAGATTTGGCGTTCATACTTGCTGAACTGGGAAAGATATATATAACGTCTCCTACTAGCTTTCAAGTTACACGATCAGTGTTACTAAGTACCACCTGGGCACGTACACATATAACATTTGAAGATAGTCCTAATTTAGGACCTAAGAGGTACAAATGGGTGTAATTTGAAGCTATCGTGAACATTCGAAGGTTTGATTCAATATTACATATTATTCAAAATCGGCACCTGGGCAGTAATGGTCAGCATAGAATCTCCCCCGGGCCCTCTGAGAGTCTCTGGAAACCGCGATTTCTGTTTGGAGTCAGGGGTATCTATGAAGAGTACTAGCCATTCAGATGTTCTTTAATTTTTGTTTCTTAGATTTGATTTTGAGAAAAATTTGAAAGAATTCGCGGTTAGAATCATATAGTCTCGACGTACTTAACTTCCAAGGTTTCCAAGGTTGTGTATGAGCTTGTAAGTTTACGGTACAGTTGCCGTCACATGTGGTGGGGCACCACTGCAGGGGCAAATTGAATGTCAAAGCTGAGTGGAAAATGAGAAGAGAAAAATAAGAAAATAAAATAAAATCCCGAAAAAAAAAAGAATTACCACCCAAAAATTGCGGTGCGATCTACTTCGCCTATAAATACTTGCTGGTCGAAGCAAACTCCTGTCCTTCGAGAAGTTGACTTCGCTTCCTTTTCCTCAACATTGAACTTCATTTCCCCCTCTTGTCACTGCACGCAGCACCAGCGCCACTGGCACCACTGCCCGTGATATTTCCTCATGGCAGCTACCGAAAAGTCTGGTATCAGCCTTATGAGCCAATACAATATCGTTCTACCGAAAAGGCAGGCGTATGACTCTTCCGGCAAACCTATACCTGCATGCGACCAGGATCAATGTGCTGCGGCAATAAAGGGGGAGTATCTTCCCGTCGATCTAAGCTCGTTTTGGCATCAGAGAGCAGTTATCCGTGGGATTCGTGATTCACTTCAATTTGCAACAAGCCCGGAAATCCTTGAGCTATGCTCCGGCGATGATGGTCAGGCCCATCAATTTTCCCGCGCCCGTAATGCTCGCCTGATTATGAGTGATGTAATCCCCGATATGCAAAATCCCGCCACTCAGCCGTACTGTATCTGGTATCCCGACCTTGCATCTGAAGAAACATATCGCGAAGTTGCCCGTCGGTATCCGTCTATGCGGTATCAAGTGGGCCGGGCGTGTGCTGCAGCATGCTATTCAGATCTCTACAAAGAATTGGACCTTTTGCCTGACGTTTCTATTGCGGAAGAATCCCGCGAAGTTAACAAAGACGCCGAAATCTATAAGATTATCATGTCCGCGCCCCAACGATATGCTGTCATGGAAGATTTCTCTCGATCCGTTTATCTTGAAACCCCACGAACGCCTGCGTTTCTGAATGGCGATATGAAGCCCCGATGGGCTTTGGGACAGCGAGTTCTCCCTGGTAAAAATTTACCAGAGACGACTGCTGATGATATCGACATCGAGGAAGATGGATTTATCGGCTTTCAAGATATCGGCTTGAAGGATATCAGCGGAATGGAGGAATATGCTGAACTAGGCCCAGGCCAGTCCGATCAACTGTGGATGCCTCTTCCGCCTGATCTCCCAAATCTTGAAAAGCGCCTTCAGACACAGATGGCCGCGTGGGAGGGCAATGCGGATCGATACAGTCGACTAATGCACCCACGCAGGCTGAGAACTAAACTTGAATACAATTGTGTTCTTCGTGGCATTTATCACAGTACAACCTTCGCCAGATGGTGGGCTTATCAGCTGGAAACAAACCCTAGACGGGCTATCCTCCCAGGTAAATTGCTCAGCCAAGGCAATGAACTGGAGTGTAGAGGGATTCGCACTGCGATTAATGCCCGCATGATAATGAACAATGATATCTCTGGCATCAACGATGACTCGGACTGCCTCCCGTGGGTCATATGGGGGCCCGTGAAGCCCTCTGAGAACACTTTAGCTGATCTGGTTCGAAAGTGTCCGTCCATGGGACATCAAGTTGCGATCACTTGTATAATGTGTGATTACGATTCGATATTCCGAAGTTTGAAGCCCCCCTACACCAGATCCTTGTATGTGGCTGCCAGGCGAAGTGAAAATCCATTCTACCTACAATACCTTGAGGAAATCATGAAGGAGCGCAATATAACTCCCCCGGACTTTCACCGCTTTAAGAACTTTGATCACACTGCACCAGGCTTACAGACTGATCTGGAGCCTAGAGATGATCTCACTGGCCCCACTGTCAGCTACAATGACATGGAGATCTGGTATGGGCAATATCCCGGTGGAAACGAACACGAAGAAACCCGAGGTACATATGGAGGCGGACTAGCAAATCCAGGAATGGTGGAGAGATACATGTGGCTCTCAACTGAAACTGCACAGAAGTTGAAAGATGAACTTGACGCGCCCTACCCAGGTGCGGATATTGGTCTTTTGTATGACGATGAAGAACTTCGATCCAAGCTTTCACGCGGTATACAGCCCATGAAGCGGTAGTATGCAGGTTTCGATATGTCGAATACAGTCAGTCCCTTTGATTTTCGAGTGTTATCGGCCGAGTATTCGCTAGCTGAGTTACCGATGGCAATATAGCTCGTAGATACTAGGACCAACCTTTATAATTTCAGATCAGTTCCAATCCCTCTTCCACGTACAATATAGCGCGTCGAGTACTTGAGTGTGGTATAATAGTAATTTTGTAAGTACATATCAGAAGCACTAGCATACACTCTGGATCGAAAACAGTTTCACCACTTACACACAGAGAATCTATCTCGAACCCTTTTTCGAAACATACCATACCCATCGCGGTTACTCTGCCCCCAACCCCGTGTCTTGGCGGTATCTCAATACAAGCGTAAAAAAAGCCCTGAAAATAGATTCTGTATGGAGCTTGTATGGCTTTAGCAGATTCTGCCTGATTTTTGGACATAAACTGCCGAGTTACCTAAAATTGATTCTGTTATTTACCCCTGTTTTCGTTAAAATATATAATACCTACCTTATTATCTATCTTCTCTATTGTATTTTTATGAAATATCCCTGTTTATAGATAGTTAATATATATCTTTACTAGTAGACTGCGGCAACATCCTCAATATCCATGGATATCCACATATCCTCTCCGCAAATTGCGGATATGGTATGTCACCCAATATCCGCAATCCTCAATTTTGTGGATATGGTATACCACCCAATATCCATGTAATCATAGTGTCATCATTAATTTTCAAGATTTCAATTTAGTAATTATAATTCTATTATCTCTATATATCTTAACTACCTTAAATCAATCTGAAATCCATCAGGTAACCTAGGTTGCTTCCGAATTCGCCCTGACCGTCCCTGCATGCCCTCATTTATTGGCATTTCTGGAAGGTCATCGTCATCGTCATCATCATTAAGAGATTCAGATAAACATTTCTTTGATCGTTTATACTATACTTACTCACTTTGATCATTATTCTTCCCATCATCTAAACCATCATCACAGCTCCCTATCTATTATGTATCCTCTATACTAGGCTCTTGATCCTCCTCTTCGTTATCACTGATTAGCTTAAGAGTTTCAAGGTGGGGCATTGGTAGACCTCATACCCGCCTGCGGGTTGGGCTGGTCTTTTACTAGCCCTCATGAGGGCCGCCCGCGGGCTTTTCGAGGGCCGACTGTCACGAAACTGACAAGGAGTATCTGGAAGTTCTCTCATGTGACCTCAGCTGACCTTACCGAGAGAGTGCGGGGTATAAAGCCCATCTCTCTCTTAGTACCTACGATTCCTTCAAGAATCAGTTTTGATACAAATCTGATTACTGCTATTTTACAACCCATCTATTCTCCCTTTATCTTATCCATAAACCCTAACAAGTATGTAGAAATATATATTTGGATATGAAGAAGTAGATGTACTTTTTAGAGATGTTAAAAAATAAAATAAAATTTCTTCATTTCTACTCTAATTTAGCATTTCTGTATATTAAATAAAAGCTAATATCCTCTTTTTAAATATATTTACTTCGAATTTAGAGAAAATTATATAGCTAGGGTTAAGGGCTAATAGAAAGATTCTAAGGTGAGATTTTTTGGATAATATTTTAAGGGGATTAGGGTGGGAATAGGTCTTTTTTAGGTTTTTCTGAGGTCCTATTAGGTCCTATTAGGTCCTATTAGGTTTTCTTAGGTTAGGCCTATATATTAAGTTAGGTACTCTTAGGTCCTCTTGGGTCCTCTTAGGTAGACCTCGCCATGACCCTCAAACGGGTCCAAGGTCAAGACCCTCCACCCGACCCGCGTGAGGGTCGGGTCCAACCTTAGGGACCCTCACCCGACCCTTACCCGCAGAGGGTTACTTATTGTCACGGTGTGTCCTGATAGGGTCCGTAGGGACCCGCTAAGACCGATAAGGGAGATCACGGGCACGTGATCTATATCTTGTTTATCTGCACTTCCGATCTGGATCCTGTTGTAGCTCTTCGAGCTACGTCTTGTATAATAGCTTACGCTAGACCGTCCGCCGACCTGCTGCCGGATCAATTAGAAACCCTCTGAACCCGACCCGATCCCGCCGGTCTTCTCCTATTATAACCCTGCCAGCCTGCACCCTGACACTTATGGCTCACCCGCACTCACCCTCACCCACCCGTTTCTGCATAACTTTTCTTAACATTTCCTAATTAAGATAGATAAAATTGATGAGTCATATACATAAATTACAATTACATACAAAAAAAAGTGCATAAGATATTGTTTGACTTGTTTGCTCACCCGCGGGTAACCCGAGGGTGACCCTTTACGGGTGAGTATAATACTAGAACCGACCCGCGGGTAGGAGGTCAGGACCCGTCACCCGCAAATTGGAGGGTCGCGGGTCACCCGTTGCGGGTCACCCACGGGTCATGGCGAGGTCTACTCTTAGGTCCTTTTGGGTCCTTTTGGGTCCGACCTAGGCTTCGGCAAATAGGGCCCTATTTCAAAATTTCAGAACCTAATCTAATCTATTATGGGCCCGGGCCTATTATAGGGCCCTAATGGGGCCCTATAGGCCTATGGTTGCCTGATTCTAGCCTGGTTTTGGCCTGATTACTGCCTGAATTTGTATATTTTTTGCTAAGCCTTTCTGTTTAATTACGTTGGCTCCTATCTATATATATATGAAAGCCACTATTTCTCTCTACTTCCATACTATATATTGTATTTATATGTAATATAGCTAAATATAAGCTTATTATACTATAATACCCTTTATAGCTATAGATTTAGGGTAATTAGGGGAAAAAACGCTAAGACTTTTATAGTCTAGTAGACTATAGTCACTCCTGTAGGATAGAGAATATTTAAAAAGAACTCTAAGATCGCATTTGACTAAATGACTAATGTAATAGGATCATGTAAATGTACCGCATTGTTTGACTTAGCCAGTAGTAACAGAACCACGAGGAGAAAACATACTTATAATCTCATTTGCCGGTAGTAACCCTTCTCTTTGATAGGATGGAAGGATTTTCCGAGAGAGAGTCCGGTAGAACTCTTCTTCCGTGTCTATATTCGTAAGCCATTTCATCTGCTTAACACCTTCCATCTTCACATGGGCGCTTTGCTCCTCCGGTCCATCGGCACTTTCGAGGACCTCAAAGATCTTGAAGATATGTGGACTTCGCGTGTTGTCATAAAGCTCGACTGTTTGAATCGTTAGATTTCTAAGTCACGGATTTCAATTTGTCCGAAAGAGGCTTACGAGCACGCTTTAAGGCTCCAGCAGACCATCGCCCAGTCTCACGGTGAACGTGCTTGAGGGCCAGAGTCAACGTCTTCGCATCCTCAAACGCAAAACTGCACCCTGCACCGAAAGCCCCGCCCGTAGCTGGTACTGCGTCAGTGTGATTTTCAAGAGAAATAATTCAAACTAACGATGAGCTGCATCTCCAATGAAGCATATCCGATCATGTGCAGTAAGCGTGGACAGCCAACCGCCCCGGGCAATTGCTGAAATTTGAATAAGATTGAGTCCAAAGAAGTAATACCATCTTTTAGGAACAGGGAGGAGGGGGGGGGGGAACTCGTTTAAAACTTACGGAATACGCCCATATCCTTGGATAAGTCCAATACGTTTCTGACCATGGGGTTCCACTCCTGCAGATTGTCAGTGTTACTTTTTTTGGAAGCTCTAGTGCAATCGTCTTGTACCTTAAAATGCTCCTTCAGGAGCTTCACTATTTTGTTGTCTTATCAGTCTTTCCGCGTGCCAGGTGGAAAGGTCTTTGTACTAACATCTCTTGGGATCGGTATCATCTGCCCATCCTAGTTTTGAAGTGACCGTTGGGTCATCAGGAACAACACATATCAACCCAAATCGACCGCAGCCCTGATAAGTAGATATTAGTGAAATTTTGCTGTGTAACTGGTCATACGCACAATATCCCCCATAAAAACCATAGTCTCGTCATGGAAAAAACAAGTCGTTCCACTTGGAAGATCTTCGACCTTTGCTGATAGCTCTTTTCGGTCAAATACTTCCATATATTCAAGCGAAGGCCTAAGAGATCATAAGACTAGAAGTAAGCCGCAATTCACAAAGGTTCACGCACATATGCTTCACAATATTTTCCGGATACAGTCGATTGCGAATTTTCTTAAGTCGAATATCAGCAAGTTGCGTCAACTTAGCGTGAACTGAAGCATACAGAATTTATACCATCCGCGACGATAAGAAGGTCTGCCTCGACGTTCGTTCCATCATGGAAATGGGCAGTCAAATAGTTGTCTTTGATGGTGAAACCCGTACCTTTCTTACCCAGATGAATGCTATCGGAAGGCACGTGTTCAAGAATGATCTTCAATAGGTCCTGTCGGGTGGTACCGGCCGAGTGTCGCATTTTAATCATTTCCTCGCGTGTTACTCCTTGTTAGGGTTTATGGATAAGATAGAGGGAGAATAGATGGGTTGTAAAAAAGCAGTAATCAGATTTGTATCAAAACTGATTCTTGAAGGAATCGTAGGTACTAAGAGAGAGATGGGCTTTATACCCCGCACTCTCTCGGCAAGGTCAGCTGAGGTCACATGAGAGAACTTCCAGATACTCCTTGTCAGTTTCGTGACAATTATCCCCCCTCTAAGGGGCAACTGCCCCAGTTGACCAGACCCTTCAAGTAATTGCTAAATACAGAACCAAAGACAGAACCGAGAGTTGACAGGAAAGTGTTTGTAGAAAAGAACACGCATCAGTTTTCACAAAGAAAGCAGGGCGATACGACCATCTGTCGCCTGCAAAACAAAGGGGTTTCGATCACGCAATCTGCGTAAAATTCTCAAATGAGAGATTCTTTGATATTGAGGTTTCAGCCTCAGTTTAACCTTTGTTGACAGTAGGAGCGGTTTGTCTTTGTTCTACTGGGAATATCCGACAGGGCAGAGATAGAAAAGGTAAGGAATTACCCTCGCTCCTCTCCTATTATCCACCATTGTTCCCAGCAGAATCGTCATCTTCTTCATCTTCAGGACTAATGCCCTTGCCAAGTGACAGGACACCTCGGGCATCACCTACCCGGGCGTCGTATACTGCTTGTATCGGCTGCTTTGGCCGGGCTGGTACAGCCTTTGTCGCAGGTGACGGATCCCGGGTGGATATAGAGTGTACTTGGGGTACGGTTGCTTCACAGAATTGCGATGGTTGTAATGGTAAGAACGCGGTTTGCCATGTGGTGAGTATCCTCAATTCAGTACTGATTCGGAGCTAATTCGGGGTTGCTTCACTTCTAGGTCCCAATCGGCATGTTGTACGAATCATGGGTTCTCTTTGAGATCCTCGAGTGGGTCGATAATTCTGTCCCTGGCAGCGCAGCACCGAGTACAGGTCTTACTGCTCCAGTTGGTGTAGTTGGCTCTGGTCCCGCGGCGATCACATGGGGACCCGAATCTTCTGATGAAGCCCACGAAGCGTCGGTGAATCTCCTCGCTGCCCTTCGGAAAACGATTACTGCCCATTGTGTGGAAAATGGCCTTGATTCCGCGAAGAAGTGGGAAGGCGAACCCTGGTGGGAATATCAGCGGATCAGTCGTGATAAAGCTCGGGTTCAGCAGGATCGTATTGCTCGTCCTGTGACCTTTCCGAACACCCTTTGTCGTCTTGAACCTGACGAGGATGGGTATATGGTTTGGAATACTGCTATATGGAGTTACTTCCAGGATGTTGCAAATGCGGGTCTCGCAACTGGCGAGATGACCGCTGCAGTCGCTGATACTATCCGTAATAAGGCTTCCGAGTATTATTGTGAGTATTGATTCGGAAGGGATTCGGCTAGGTTTCGAGGTGATGTAGCAGAAACGGATTCTGTACCTCGCTTTCCTCGAAGAAGATCACAAAATCTTCTTCGTCTTGGTTATTTCTTCGAAGCCCAGGGCCTAGGCACTTTTGGATTTGTGCTAAGGCCCTAGGATTCGGCCTGAATGTCCTTTGTGTTTCGAATCCAGTTTTTTTTTTTTTTTTTAAATTTTTGTTGATTTTCTTTGTTGTCCAACGCATCCCCCCTCGATTGGCGGTCGCCCCGACCGGTATATATAGTCGAGGTTGGATAGTGAAGGATAAGTGGAGAAGTAAGTAAAGGGATAGGTGAAGAAGTGAGTGAAGAAAGAAGTGAAGTTTTACTTCTTCTTCTTAGATGACTTTCTGAATTTGGTGATAAGCTGTTTTGCGTTCATATCGTCTTCGGCGACCCATTGGTTGTATTCCGAGGGCCAGCCTTTCCACTTCACTAGGAAGTGTATATCGTTATCAATGATCTTTTCATCTCGAAGCTCCTCGATTTCCCATTCGTCATCATCGTGTAGATCAGGTAACGAAGGTGATTCGGTGCCGTCTCGGGCATACCAAGGTTCGAGTAGTGTGACCGGGAAGACGTTATGTAAACGTTCGTATTTGACGGGTAATCCAAGGCGGTATGCCTGTTTGCCAACCTTGGCGAGGACCTTAAAGGGCCCGACGAATTTCGGGCTGAGCTTCTTGGAGAGAAGGTTCAATTTGAGGTTTTTGGCGGCCAATTTGACCATATCGCCGACCTTAAACTCCATAGGTTTGTGCTTCTGGTTATAGTGTTTCGTCATTGATTCGTTCGCCTTTCGCCAGCTTTCCTCTGTCGATTTACGGAGGTCTGCGAGCTTTTGGATTCGGTCTCGAGCTGAGGGTGCGTCTTTGTCTTCGACGTCAAGATCAGGGTGAAGACGCATTTCAGGGCTATACCCCATAAGCGCCATGAACGGTGATACTCCGGTAGTCGCGTTAACGGCATTATTACACGCAAACTGGGCGGTTCGAAGTAGATTTGGCCACGTAAGCTGCGAGTGGTCCACAAAACAGCGGAGATAGTATTCGAGCGTTTGATTCATACGCTCGGTTTGACCATCAGTTTGAGGGTGATAAGCGGTTGATAACCGAAGCTTAACGAGGGAATGATAGCACAATCTCGACCAAAATTTGCTGGTAAAGAGGCTTCCTCGATCGGAGACAATACCCTCTGGGGATCCGTACTTCAAATCGACATGTTCGTAGACGAGTTCGGCAAGTTCTCCGGCGGTAATCGTAGTCGTGACGGGTAAGAAAATGCAGTATTTCGTAAACCTATCGACAATGACTAAAATAGCATCAACACGCTCGTTTTTGTAAAGGACAGGGGGAAAACCTGTGATGAAATCCATGGAGATCTCAGCCCATGGCCTTTTTGGCTGTGGTAAGGGTTGAAGTGCTCCATAAGGCTTATGCCTTAGGGCCTTTACACCTTGACACACGGGGCATGACGAGACATAATCGATAACATCTCGATTCATCTTTGACCAATGGAATTTCCGCTTTAAAAGCTCTTCAGTACGATTTCGACCGAAGTGTCCGGAGTGGGGGTCGTCATGATAGAGTTCAAGAACCTTCTGACGAACAACCCCATCAGGGATAAAGAGCCGCTTACGATACCTTAAAAGGCCTTCAGCATCAATCTCCCACCCGATCCGGTTAGGAATCTCTCCTAAAACGGCATCCTTTCGCATCTTGGTCTCAGGATCGTCACCCTGGGCCTTCGCAATAAGGGCCTTCAAATCCGAATTTGGACTTGATGATAGAACATTTTCGTTCTGAGCAGCATAAACACATGCGCTTTGGGAAATAGAATAAGCAGAACTTAACGATTCCCAAACAGACCAATCCACTGTTTCAGCAGCATCTCGCCTGCTAAGCGGGCCCTCTACGTCCACGCTTGATTGGGTTTCGGGAGCGACCCGTTGAAGAAACTGAACCTTAGCGAATTTGCTTCGGATCATAGAAAGAAGGCTAACTGAATCAGGCTTTTCTGAATTCGGCTGCCGAGATAGACCATCTGCCGGGTTGGATTTGCCCGAGCGATGTCGAATCTCAATATCAAAGGGGGTAAGCACCATACACCATCGCGCCTGTCTACCGTTCAACCTGGGTTGCTTCATAAAAGTTTGCAGGTTGTAGTGATCTGTAAGCACCTCGATGGTATACTGGCTACCCTCTAGATAATGTCGCCAGCTTTTAAAAGACTGAACGATGGCGAAAAGCTCCTGATCCGGAGTCGAATAATTCAACTCCGCTCCGGTAAACTTCCGCGACCAAAAGGCCACTGGGTGCCAGACGTCATGATCGTCTGGCTGGGAAAGAATTCCGGACATGCCGAGATTCGAGGCATCCGTCTCCAATCGAATCCTCCTTGAAGGATCAAAATATCGAAGGAGAGGTGCTTCCCTAAAAGATCCGATTAGTGTACGAAACGCACGTAATTCGGGCTCGCTTAGCTGCACGGATCCAGGTTTTTTCCCATTTTTACTCCCCTTGAGGAGATCAGTAAGTGGCAGCGCTATCAAAGAGTAGTTCTTGATAAAGCGTCGGTAAAAGTTGCAAAATCCAAGGAACACTTGGATATCATGGTAGGTCTTAGGGACCTCCCACGATTCGATAGCGGAAATCCGCTGAGGATCCATAGATATACCCCCTTGTCCAATAATGAACCCGAGGAAATCGACTTCTGATTGGTAGAAGGTGCATTTTGACACTTTTGCGTATAATTGTGCATCTCGGAGACGTATAAGCACTTGCTTTATATGCTCCGTGTGCTCATCTCTCGATTTCGAGAAGATGAGAATATCGTCTAAATAGGCGATACAGATGATATCAAGAAGTCCATGCAAAGCAGTATGGATATACGACTGAAAGGTAGCAGGAGCGTTAGTTAGCCCAAAAGGCATAACCGTATACTCGAAGTGGCCGTACCGTGTACGAAAAGCTGTCTTCCATTCGTCGCCTTCCTTGATTCGGATCCGATAGTACGCATCCTGCACATCGACTTTTGAAAAGTGAGTAGCGCCAGATAATCGGTCGAGGATCTCCGAAATCAAGGGTAAAGGGTAACGATTTTTAACCGAAACTCGATTGAGTCCTCGGTAATCAACGCATAACCTTAATCCTCCGTCCTTTTTAGGTACGAAGAGGATTGGAGCGCCAGCGGGGCTCTTTGAGGGTCGGATTCGACCATTTTGGAGATTTTCGTCTAGGTATCGACGTAATTCCGCCAATTCTGTTTGCGAAAGTGGGTAAATTGGTCCAAAAGGAGGTGTTGCTCCAGGTGTTAACTCAATGGAGTGGTCAGAGTTCTTAAAAGGGGGTAACGTCTTCGATTTCACGTTCTCGAAAACGTCCCGAAACTCCTCCAATTCAGGTGGTAACCCTTGCGGATCCACCCCTGAATCGTCCTCGTTTTCGGGTTTATACACCTCTTCGGGTAACTTGACCACAGCGAAGACACATACTTCATTTCTGCACTTTTTGGCGAATCTCCAAGGCGTTTCGATAATAGTGGACGATACTGAGGTTTCGAACCACCACATACGATTCGCAGGTGATAAGTGTATCTTCAGGTCACAGAGAGTGGTCATGGATAATAAAACAGGGCTTCCTTGAGGTCTCGGGTCCCTATCGACAGCGACACATACTCTCTCGAAGGTTTTAGTAGTACCCCTTGAATCTTTAATACTGAGGGGAACCCTCCATACTCCATATGTGGGTACAAGGACGTCCCCGATAGCACGGATCAAGGGTTCTGTTGTCTTGGCTTGCTGCAGATGCTGACTTTTTGCAAATTCGTAGCTAACTAGGTCGACTTCGGCTCCAGTATCGAGATCCGCATGGGTCTCGGTGCCGTTTCGTAGCCGAATCGGGATGAATAATCGAGTTGCTGTGCCAAGTTGGGGTAAGGATTGGGTCGAAGACGGCTGGCCATCCTGCTCGACCCTCACACTTTTCCCGCCTTAGCCGATTGCGCTTTTACAGCGTTTGCAGGATTTTTCTTGCACTCTGGGCTGTTGCCATAGTGGTCAGGACTCGAACAGTTGATGCACTCCTTCTGCTGGGTCTTGGGATTCAGCTTCCAAATCCAGTGAGCGGGGTGTGTGTTTGTAGAGTCCTTAGGTGATTCAGTAGCGTTTCTTCTAGGAATCCCCCTTGGAGCTTGACGGGGTCTTCCTCGGAAGTTACCTCGGCCTCTCTTCACTGGGGTAGGTGCTTCCGTATTTATGGTGGAATTGCTATTCTGTGCCCTTTTTGGGTTTTCTTTTGGTGTATGCCCTTGGGGTTTCACCTTGTTTTGGATGATGGTCCAGTGGCGATTCGCTTCTGCAACCATATCCTTAAGGGTTTCAGGCAACTGGCCTGCCCGGGCAATAATGATTGCATCTTTGAGGTTTCGTTGAAGCTTTGAGTAGTAGATCTGAGCACGACGCTGCTCGGAAGGCTTCTCGAAGAAGCGTTCTAAACTTAGTAGATACTGGTGGAATTCGATAGGTGTCTGGGTTGGGCGCTGCTTTGCTTCTTCGAATCGATCTTGATAATCGATAATGCCAGTGGACATATTGGCAATAAGCTCATCTGTCCATTCCTTGAAATACGTCCACGTATGGGTAGCGTATCGGGCTTCATCCTCATCAAGTTCTTCGATGTGTGTAAACCACCGTTGTCGACAGTCTTCGTCCATATTGAAAGAAGCAGCGATAATCTGGGCATCTTCGGTCTTGAATTGCCGTGGGGCAGCACGGAATATCTGTTCGTGATTTTTGAACCATTCCTGCTGCTGTTGTAGGCTGAAGTGAAGAGTGAAAGGTTTTTTCAAGTCCGGTAGCTTCAGATCCTTTTTATGGACGTGTCCACTTCGGTCCGAGTCCGAATCGGTTCCTTCTCGGGGGCGTTTCGAAGTATGTTTTTGGACTTGTTTCTCTAGCTCTTCAATTCGCTTAAGGAGACGGGCGGTCATGAGCATGTTCTTCTCTTTCTCCCTAAGTTCTCTAATTGTGGGGTCACTCAGGGATTCGCCTATGGAAGCGAGCGGTTCGAGGTCCGAATCGTCATCGTCTCGAGGTGGTTCCGTGGTGGAGTCGATCGGGGTTGGATCCACGGTCGGCGCTAGCTCCACCGGGTCCACCGAAGGTTGTGGGTTACTGCGAGTAGTACGCACCATCTTTCTTTCTCTATCATATCAAAGAAGAATCAGAATTGTTAGGGTTTATGGATAAGATAGAGGGAGAATAGATGGGTTGTAAAAAAGCAGTAATCAGATTTGTATCAAAACTGATTCTTGAAGGAATCGTAGGTACTAAGAGAGAGATGGGCTTTATACCCCGCACTCTCTCGGCAAGGTCAGCTGAGGTCACATGAGAGAACTTCCAGATACTCCTTGTCAGTTTCGTGACACTCCTTCGGGTAGGAGGGATTTTGGCTTCAAGGCAATTCCAGACTTCCAGTCTCGAATCTCAGGCTCCGAGAATGTTCGAGAGCAAATCGAATCCACGGCATCTTCTCCGCATATCTCTTCAAGGAGGACTTGTCCCGCGGCCGTTACTCCGATCCACCTTTAAGTATGTTTTAGTGATGTTGATCCCTGGGTAAACAGCAGTATGGCAACATACGCCCCGACATGTCGATGAACTGTCGATCGCTCATAGAGTTGAACATCAACACCCGGAACACTTTTTATATATCAGCCGTTGCCCCATCAAAATATTGATGATATACAGGAGAATGGCTCTTATCTGAGCAAAGGGGTTTTGACGTACGATTGCAAAAAGGCGCCAACTGCACCCCCCGCAAGACCAACCCCAATAACCGCAATCCGTAGGACGTCTGAGTTATCACTAGCCATAATGAGAGGTATAGTAATCTGTGAGAAAAGATATCTTCCTTTTATGTGTTATGTTGGTTTGAGAGCTGGTATTTAAAGAGTTTTTGATTCCACCTACTCTATGCAAATGCCGAACGCTCTGCCGAAGGGGTATGTATTGACCTTTGGCTAATGGTATCAACTGTGGGAATGATAAGAATACCGGGAATCCATTAACAGCTGGTAGCATTCTTGTTTAGCCTTCTCGCTAACTATTAAAAGTATCTTGAGTTTTCCGCAGTGTCAGCTTGCGGGTCCACCTGGACCCTAGATGTTGGTGTTACCAGGCCCGGTCCGGTACAAAACTACGCCTCAAGATAGCGAACCCACCTAGATCCTGTCATTTTAAACTCATACACTATCTGCATTGCTTTGTAACTATTTTGGAGCTATCTAGACCGGACCGGTCGACAGCCGAGATAAGCACTTGGACCCTGCGGTCGACGGCTAAATTTTCCCGAGATAAGCACTTCGACCCTGCTTCTTGTTCTTGGGCCAATCATCCCTCCCGCCGTTGCTCCCTATGGCGTTCTACAATTAGCCATCCATCTGAGGGTGCATGCTTTAAATGTTGACTTCTCCTTCCAATTCAGAGATATCAACACTGGTTCTTCTGAAATAATGTTTTAATTCAAATGTGTTTCTCAAGATAACGCAATAAAAAGGTATCGAACTGGATTTTCTTCTAACTGAAAGTGGACATTTGAATAAAAGCGTTGAGAATTTCTACCAGGGTCAACCGGCAGATACGTTCCCGGTCTGACAAAAAGGGAGTGGGATGTATCCCTTGAGCATGTTTTCGCCATTCCTATTGGCCTCCTAAGGCTGCCAGATATATTTTTTTTTCGAAATTTCAACCTTGCATGGAGATTCTCACTGGTCGAGGCATCTATAGCCCCGGCAGCTCCAAGACACAGACCGGCACGATGCCGGTCAAGGCCTAGAAGGTCCATCTTTTCAATACATCCCTGTAATCACTATCTTGGGCGAATCAATCCTTCTCTTCAAGAAATCAAGTACTCAAAATGTAATCAAACTGATGTAGGGTCTCCCTGAAAATACGATTGGCAAAACAAGAGCAGCAAAAGAAAAAGGACCCGTTAACATAAAACGAGAACGATTCCCACCGTTCGGTGAGATACCTTCAACCGAGACTGAGTCCAATGAGCTCTTAGCTATTCTCCTTGAAGCTGAAGAAATATACCTCAATAATAGCAGCACATTTGTGCACCTCCATTTGGTTATGAACGCCCTAAACATGCACAAGAAACCCGAAGCCCCTGAGAAGCAGGAGAATGAAGTTGATGCGGAGCTTTGTATGGTGGAGAGTGAGATAGGCGAGATTACCAAGCATAGTTCGCGGGTAAACAACCAGCATATTTCTGATTAACGACTATTTTGCTAAACTAAACTAGATCTATGATGCATCGGGCAAAGTGTTGATTTCGCCACGTCCGTCTAATGCCTTGGAAGACCCCCTAAACATGCTTCTTTGGAAGAAATGGGTCTTTTTAGTAGCTCTCAGTGTCTGGTCTGGAGTTGCACTAAGCTCCCAGTCATTTTTTGGTTTGTGCTTCCATATCCTCTGCTCCATGTGATATCTGAATATAACATTAGATTTTTCAGCTAGTTTCCTGCCACAGATCCAAGAAAGATTCCCGGCGGAGTCTACTTCGAATATCAATCTTCTTTTCACCATCAACGGGCCTCTAATCGCGCCAGCTGATATCTTACTCTTTATCTCTGCAGGAATGTTTGGCACTCGACCTACATTCCTTGTTGCGATGCTGATCTTCGTGATATCAAACATCCTCGCTGCAGCATCGACCACATATACTGCTCTGTTGGTTTCTCGCATCCTTAACGGAATTGCTACAGCGCCAACGGATGCATGTGAGAATGCCTATAGCGCTTTATGCCTGCAGTTTAACATGCTAATGACTTTTGAAGTACAATTTTATCTCCTTGAGAAGACGGTATTCGTGTAGGTCATAGATTGAAAGCTCCCCTTTAGATTGAACAAAACTTACCTAGTACAGTCACGAGAGAGGTTTGTTCCTGGCGCTAATAAATAGCGTCGGAGGGGTATGTATCATCTCAAATCCGATATGTATATATGAGTAGCAGTTAACAAGATACATCTCCAGACATTGCAACTTCTTTTGAACATTGCAAGCTCATATGGTCAGTCAACTATCTAGCAAAGATTGGAAACTCGCTGATTGTAATAATATGGAGTGGCAACTCTGGTTGGCATGAGTTGGTATGGGGTCTTGACTTCTGTTCGTTAGGTTGACTGCAGCTGATGCTACCAGGGCATTTGCCATTTACTCTATCTTGAGCGGAATTTGTCTCATTATTTTTTGGCTGACGATGCCTGAGCTGAAGTAAGTTCTCGAAAATAACACAAAATAGAGTCTTCTAATTCATTAGCTATGCGAGGGATCCCGACAACCTTGCGATCCCCATGTCTGTCGAGGAACATCAGATCTTTGCGGCAGCGCTACATAAGGAGTCTCAACTAAGCCACCTTCACTTTAGTCCTCTTGCCACTGGGAAGGATCAGCTAGAAGCCCGAACTACACTCTCACACAACCTCGGTATTTTGCTCAGCGCAGTGTCCTCTCCCGCTGTCTGGTGGTAGGTAAAATCAGAACCCTCTGTACATTCACGCTAAATACATATCTCATTTTTTTCAGGATGGGCGCCTGCCAGACAGTATTTTTTGGAGGTTACAGTGCAATGTGCAACTACTACTCGTCGGTAAGGTATCATCAAACGGGAAGTTGATGCGAAAGTCTCCTGCTAACTCTCTGAGAGATGTTACAATCCCCACCTTGGTCTTGGCCAGCGCAAAATGTTAGCCTTATCAACTTCATCGCTGTTCCCCTGGTATGTGATCTACTCTAACCCATGGGGGTAATTCCATTCTACTACGATGGAATTAGGGTGGACTTCTTTAGTATGGGGGGAAAAAAGTGGGTCGGGGTACGATGGAATATTATTTCAAGATAAGGATGGATTTACATTCTGGACTCGGACGGGGCTCAGATTTTGATATGTTTTTCGCCAGCCTCTATTTCATGGTCAAACCGAAATTCAGATCATTCGAAGCAGTGGAAATGGTTAAAACAGGGGTTGGAAATCAGGGAGTTTTTTTGATGGGGTGCCGACCGCGGGTTAGGGCTTTTTTTTTTTTTTTTTTTTTTTTGTATTCATTCATGGATCTGTCAGGCTTTTGGCCCGATTTGCCAGTAGGGCACTATAGGATAGCCGGAACAACTATATCACCAAGTGGTAATAACGCTAATCGGATGCAACTGTAGGCTATTTGGTAGGCGGATAGGGTGGGTGGGGGGGGGGGGGGGGGAAGGAAGGCAAATAGTGCAAACAGGTCCGCCAAGACCAAAATAGCCAAACAGTGCAAACACCAAAACCTCGGCACGCCCCTTCTCCGCGTACGCTCAACCTCTCTCCTTCACTTGCACCCCTTCAACGCGCCCGTCTTCGCTCGCCAGATCGTGTCTCGCAGTTTAACCTTACCCGTACTCACATACCGCTAACGCTGGTAGAAGCAAAGTGATCAGCTGACCGTGCGCAGGCCTGAGACGTCCCCGCAAGCATCTCCCATGGTGTTCGATCGTGTGTTATCCCTCCGTCTTCGAATAACGCAGTGGCCCCTAGGCGCCCGAAGGGCCTAGGAGATTAGTGGATCGGTGGTTTCTGGAGGCCCGTGGGCACTCCAAGGAATGAGTGGCCGCTACGCGGCTGCTATGGTGTGGTATGTCTCTGGTAGGTGGCGGAATTGGCCGAGAAGGCGTGTGGCTAGTATGAAGGAAGCTGCTTTAGGTGCGCGCTCTGGCTCAGTGAGCCAGGACGTCCATACGCCCGGGGGGCGGTCGATACCAAGGGTATTGGCGCGGAGCGTAGCAAAGCGGGGACAGGTCAGCAGCACGTGCTTCGTGTCCATCTTACCACGCTCGCAGTGGTGGCAGGCCGACGGGTCTAGGTCCGGCACCCCGTTCTCGAGTGCCCGAGCTACCCTTTCGTCCCGCCAGGCGGAGATGGTTGACAGATATGCTGGTAGGGCCAGCTTACCTGCTTGCATCTGGATAAGTGCAGCGCTAGTGGGTCTGCGGAGTGGCTCATGGAGCTGAAATACTGCTTTTGTGGGCTCTGGAAAGAGGTCTCGGACGTATTCACCGTGGGCGGAGGTCGTCCACTCGCGTGTCCACGCCTCTAACGTTTGCTCACGTAAGGTGGCTTTGGCTGCGGTAAGGAGTAGTGGTGTCGTCGTAGGCGTGGCTGTGGATTCGGCTGCTTCTTTGGCCATCTGGTCGACCCGCTCGTTGCCGGCTACCCCGACATGTCCGGGTAGCCAGTTGATGCGGACCTGCCATACAGGCTGTACTCGGTCCAGTAGCTCCGCGATTTCTCGTAGCACGTACTGGCCTGAGCTTCGCCGCGGGCGTGCGAAAGCGAGAATCGCAGCCTGGCTGTCTGTGAAGATCGTAGCAGTAGCGGTGGTATCGGTAGTATCGGTAGTATCTGTTTCTGCGCGGAAGCCCTCGCACGTCTGTCGAAAGCTTATCTCCGTGTCGAATCGACGGAGTGCGAGCTTGATTCCGTGGAGTTCTGCCACGTAGATCGAATCTGTGGGGTGTAGCACCGCCACCTCTCTCCCCACGGAGGTGAGGGCAGCAGCCCCTACGCCTGCTGGGTTATCGAGCTTGCTACCGTCGGTATAAGCTATTGCGGTGTTAGGCCCGTAGGGCCCAGCGGCCCTAAGGATTTCGTTATGCTGCGCGATTGCTGTGTCTTTGCTTGCGGCGATCTGCACTTTTGGCGGCTGCCACCACGGGGCCACTGCGTACGGCTTGATCAGCTCAAGGTCGTGCACGTCGATTCCACGGTCTTGGAGATGCTTCTCAAGGCGCTGCAGCGGGGTAGTCATAGCTTTCTGGATAGGTCCGAGATTGCGGTGGCTGTCTTGGCAGTATAGCCGTAGCGTTGCCCTATCGACTGGCGTACGTCTGCGGAAGATAGTGCGGAGTGGGTGGGTATGAATACGGAGACATGTGAGTTCTGCTAGCCGTTGAGTCGCGATTGGCGCTGGTAGGACATAGAGAAGGATCTGTAGCGCAGCCCGGGACGTCGTACGAAACGCGCCGGCGATACGGTAAAGGGCTTGATACTGCATGGATTCGAGAGCGCGGTTCACCTCATTCTCTGTCGTCTTCGCCTGGTAGGCCCCCTTCGTGTACCACGTAGAACAGCCAAAGCTAATCTGTGGAAACAGCACAGCCGTCCACATGCGACGCAGGTGGAGCGTCGTGACCCCCCAGGTCATGCCAGCAATAGAACGGAGGGCCGCGGTCAGTACTGCAGCTCGTTTGCGGCAGCGGAGTAGGTGGTCACGGGCTGTGAGGTTTTCGTTAAGAATGACCCCGAGATAGCGGAGGGACGCCACCGGCTTGATTTCGACGCCCTGAATCGTGACAGAGCCCGTAAGGGCGGGTGTCTGCTGCGGATGGACGCCGTACGGGGGCAGCGCGCCAGCACCCCTCTTCCAAAAGTGAATAAGACCATATTTTGATGGAGAGAACTTAGATGCGTGCCGTTTCGCCCACGTCTCAGCAACAGCGTGTAGTTCGGAGAGAAATTGACAATTGCGAGTAGGGGAAACGCCCCACACAAGGATGCAGATATCGTCGATATATCCCGTCACTAGCACCCGGCCGGGAGCAGCTGCGTGGATATCGTCGATCAGGTCTGAGTTGTAGAAAAGATACAAAATTGGTGATAGTGGTGAACCTTGTGGGATCCCGGTAGCAACCGGTTCGTTTGCACAGCGTCCTTCTTGCAGTAAGAGGGTCGTGCTTCGATTTGATAAGAAGCTGATCAGCCAGTTTGTGATAATCTCCGGGATGCGTCGCTTCCGTAGACAGTGGATCAGTCGTATATGCGAGACGTTATCAAAGGCCCCGCTACCGTCTAACGTGAGAAGCGAAGCGACCCGCCGGTCCTTTCTCCATGCGTCGTATACTGCTTCGAGCAGCATGTGGATAGCATGGTCACAGGAACGGCCGCCACGCCCTCCGATATGCGTTTCTGGCAGTAGGCCATACTCCTCTGCAAGGTATGATAGGCGTGTAGCGATAATCGATTCGAGTGCCTTTCCGAGGGTTTCTAACAGCGAGATCGGCCGCCATGCGTTCGGATTAGTGTAATCTGGCTTGCCTGGCTTCCGGATCACGACTGTTATACTATCTCTGAACGCCCGTGGGCAGTAGCCTAGGATAATGCAGGCGTTGAAGATGGCCGTGATAAAGGTGGAGAATCCTGGTACGTCCAACCCGTGCTTCCACACAGCATTCGGTATGCTAGAGGGGCCCGGGGCGTTGTACGGGGTTGCCCTGCGGATGGCGTGTTCGACTTCTGCTGGGGAAACGGTAGTTGGCATCGGCACGGCGTCCGGGTACGTATATCCGTCGATATCGGAGAGATCTGCGGTAGGGGCCGGTGGGAAAAGTGCTGTGCGGAAGCACGCTGCTTTCTCGTCCGTTGTGGTAAATTCACGTTCGCCAACGCGGAGTGTGGGGGTATGTGAAGACCGGGGGACCCCCCGCGACCTTGCCCACTTTGCTAACCGCCAAAATCCGTCGATAGACGTAGTGGCTTCCTCCACTCTCTCTCTGTGTGCCTGACGGCCCATCTTCTTGCTTTCTCGGCCGAGCTGATGCCGCAGCTGCCGAAAAGCTTCATGATCCTCTTCGTTATGGCTACTTTGCCATGTGCGGCGTGCCCGACGCACCTGCTGCTTCAGCGGGGCGAGTGCAGGCGTATACGTGGGATATGAGCGTCCGGGGTGGATCTTCCGTACGGGGACAGTATCTTTGGATGCCGCTGATACAGCGTCCATCACCCGTTTCACAGCTTCGTCCACTTTCTCAGCTGTATCGAGCACCCAGCCAGGACCCGATATGCTCCACCCTTGCTTCGTGATATATCTCTCAAGGGCCTTACACCAGGCCTCCCAGTCCGTGGCCCGCCAGTCCTGGCGCTCTCTAACCCCTGCTGGCGAGGTACGGACGTCGAATTCAGTGAGAATCGGCACGTGGTCGGCTCCGTACCACCACTGGCGGCATGGAGTGCAGCGAATCACACGGTCCGCGAGAGACGCCGCGGTCCACGTTAAATCGATCGTGCTACGCACAATATTGCCATAGACAGGCCCTTCGAATGTGACTGTGCCTTTCTCTGTGAGTAGATCTAGGCCAAAATCACCCATTATGCGAATCAGGTCGTCTGCGTCGTCGTCCGGCAGCTGGGCCTGCTGGATCGTCGACCACAGCGGGTGGTGGAGGTTGAAATCACCAACCACGACATGCTGCCCACTGTGGTAGCCGCGTAGGGCTACACAGAGCGCGGCTAGACCTTCTTTCACCTCCTGCGTACGCTCTGGGTCGTTGAACTTCCCCGGAAGATATATATTATGCACATGCAGCTGGCCGGCCCCGGTTTCCACGGTCAGCGTGCTGGCGTCTCTGCTGTGGTGTCTGATCGACCACGATTTCGGGTTGATCCCTTTCGATACGAAGAAGCAGACACGGGGCTGCGTGCGTGCTGCTTCCTCGCGGACGGCTGTGGGTGTAGGCCGGAGAAGTGTATGAAACCGGCCACCAAGTGTCTGCGAATGGACGCCCATCTCGGGTTCCATCCAATTGAATATCTCAGGCTCTTGGATAGCCAGGATATCGCACTTCCGCACCCCTTCCTCACCGAAGAGATGCTTCATGACCGTATCGTTCGATTTACGGCAGTTGGCCTGCAGGATTTTCAGCGTTTGGCTTATCATTGCGCGCTCGCTGCGCCTCGAGTGATAGGGCCAGTTCTCTGCGATTGTGTGGGGGCTTCTTGGCTGAGCTCGTCTGAGGACTCGCTGGCGGTACGCCTGCTGCGTCTACGGGTTTGCGTGCCGATATCTTCCAGATTCTCTGTTGTGACGTCCGGCGTAAGGATCTCCACCATATCCGAGGACGGGGCGTGGAGCCCTTCCCACTGCTTTTGCATGGGCTGCACTAGCCGTGGGGTGCCGTACGTGACCAGCTTCCGGTTAACTGTGGTGGTTTTTGGCCGAATACGGCTTGCGGGGACCAAAGGGGCATCTTCACTCTCTGAGCTCGAGGACGGGGCCCGGCGGCGCTTGCTAGGGCTAGCGGACCGGCCTTGGATCCTAACCTCGAGCTTTCTTGCGGGCTGTAGTACGGGCTCTAGCACCTGTTGTGCGCTATTGACTAGCTCACGGGCCGCTTTGCCGATTTGTGAGCCGGAGTATGCTTCTGCGGGGGTAGGGGCAGCTGGGGATGTTGACGTTGATGGGGTAGGGGCTGTGGCCGTCCGGTGGAGCTGAGGGCCCCGGAGACGGTTGATACGGATCATGTCGAGCTGCTCGGCACGCCGAGGGCACTCTCGTTCGAAGGCAAAGTGGTTAATTTTGACCTTAGCTTCTTCAACTGCGGTTTCGTTGTGCCTGATACACACAGCACACTTGGCAGACGCGCGGTTACGGGCATGTGCACATTCCTTGGAGTCGTGAGATCCAGCACAGTACGCGCAGCGGATCTCCCTTCTGCAATTACGGGCGATATGACCGTACGATTGGCACTGGAAGCACTGCTGCAGCCGGTGGCTGCCGTCGAAGAATTGGCAGTCGTGATCCCGCCCCTGCAGCGCCAGGCCGAGAAGAATTGCTTGATTTGCTGCGTCTGGGTCGTCGAATTCGATCACGAGCTTAGCGGTGGTGGTATCGGAGGTTGTGGCCTGTTTCCGGAGGTCGGCCATCTTACGTGCCGGCATGAGCCAGCCGATGTGCATGATATTAGCGGTCGAAGGGATGCGGCGTACGTTCTGTGAACGCAGGCGTTTCGCAGCATCTGGGGCGGAGGGGTCGAAGCTGATCGGCACGCCGTGCATGACAACGGAGAAGGTTTCTCGCTTAAGGTGCGCTTTCGGTCCAAAGACGGCACACCAGCTGTTATCTTGCGGGCTACAGAGGTCAGTCAACTGGCGGACGTCGCGTACGCTGTCGCAACGGAGAAGCACGTCGCCGCTGGGCAGCACAAAGCCGGTAGACACCTCAACCGGAGCGATCTTGGCTTCGTCACAGACGTCTTTGATCGTCCGATTGGCCCGGTGGACCACTTCTTCCGCATGTCGACGTAGCGGATCGACCAGAGAGCGTTCTGTGCCACGGATGATCAGCTGCAGGTCCTCTCGTAGCACCCGCTGCGGTGCAGGGGCGCTACCGGTGCTGAGGCCATTGGTGGAGAGTGTGCCGTTGGTGTGGGCTCTGTTCAGCCAGCCGGAGACAAGAGAGGATTCGGTATTGCTGCGAAGTGCAGCTCGGTAATCCATTGGCCGGCGGGAGCCAGCAGGGTTCGCAGTAGCAGCGGCGGCAGCTGCGACGGCCTGGGTGTCGATAGACGCCTGCAATTTGTGATACAGGTCGGCCTGCTTGCTGGCATGCTCGTCGAATATCGCGCGCAGGCGCTGCAGCTCCGCCAGCAGCTCGCTGTCCGTCATCCTCTTCGCCAGGGAGATCACGGCGTCAAAGAAGCCGTGCAGCTTGGCTGGCGGTGGGGGGTCACGGTTCTCGTCTGTTGCAGACTTCCATAGCACGGCTGTTTTCTGTATTTTTGCTGCTGTGGCGCGTAGATCGTGGCTGCTGTCGATCGCTGGCGGATCGGGCCAGTCTGCCACGTTTTGAGGTGTCGGCCGGGCGGTCGGCCCCTTTTTGACTTTTTCGCCATCGCGGGCCGCAAAACCACGCTTTTTCAGCGCGCAGCGGGTAACCGACGATGTACGTAAGTAGAAATTAGGTTCAATCGAACCGTGGAAATGAGACGCTTAATTTGCTGTCCACCAATGGGCGTCCAGGCTGCTGTAGCTGTGGGGCGCGTTTCGCACAAAAGATTGTGTGCGCGGGTTAGGGCGATACATCACCGTACAAGGATTATATGGGTTAGAAAGCTGAAAATTCAGGGATATGGATTTTGAGAGATGGGGTTTTGTGCACAAAAACCCATTAGAATATTAAGATGCGAAAGAGATTGGTTTTTGTGCACAAAAACCCAACAGAATATAAGATATAAGAGAGTTAGGGTTTTGTGCACAAAAACCCAATAGAGGTGCCGACCGCGGGCTAGGGTGATACATCACCGTACGACCACCGCCACTAGATACCCAATAGGGTATAGGGGATCACATGGGTTAGAAAGCTGAAAATTCAGGGGGTCGATTGATTTGATTCAGCTTTATATTCAGTTCGTTCTTCAAGGCCAATTAACGAATTTTGCCCGTACGGTGTTGAAGTTGCGCATACGGATTTGCATCATCGCCCCAAGTGTGATATTTCCATTTCCAGTATGTCCGAAACCACCCCCCACAGTCCCCAGGCCAGCGAGTTTTTTTTCACCAATTCTGAGTTCAACGTGGTGATTTGCCACCAGTGTGAGCATGCCGTACGACGGGATAATATTACCACCCATTTAACCGGCACCAATCATCGGGTACCCCGTACAACCGCACGGTATATCGAGCAATGTGTCCAGCAGTGGGACCATATTGAGGACCAGCCCGATATCAGCCATTGGCCCACCCAGGTTGATAGCCCGATTCCCGGATTAACCATATTTGAAGATGGTTTATTATGTTCACGTTGTACAGTATATATTTGCCGCGATTTAAAGTCCATGAAAAACCATTGGTCCGAACAGCACCAGTGGTCCCCCAGTAGCCACCGTGGTCGACCGAAACCGTCCGAGATCGCGCAGATCCAGGCCGAGATCCACGCCAATAGCCAGGCCGTGAGATGCCAGCGGATTTTCAAGCGGCAATTAGGGTCGCATTTTATCCAGATCCGCCAGCCCGTTCCACAGCGGGCCGAACCGGTGCCACCCGTGGATGCCATCCACCAGTTGGTCCAGCGCGTCCGAGCATTCCAGGCCCAGCAGGCCCGCAGCCAGCAGACCGTGATCCAGGCCGGGGAGATCGACGAAGCCACGCCGTGGTTAAACCGTACGGGGTGGGTCCGGTATTTACAGGGCATTTCGTCCGCCCCGTTAGTGCAGTCCATGGAGCGGCCGGACGAGGATGCCGAGGGCCCCGAGGGTGCGGCATGGGCCATTTGGCAGGCCATGGAGCGATTGGCCATGGTCAGCCAGCAGATCACCCGGGCGAGTGGGTTTTTGGTGCGGATTGAGGCCGCCCGCACGCAGAAGGCCGATTCCCCGTACGAGCCGTTGTTGGCGTATATGAAAGAAGCGGAGATCAAGGACCATATTGAGCCGTGGCAGCGGATATTGATGTTTTTCACCCGCACCCAGCAGCCGCACGATTGGGAGAGTCCCCCGTACGAGTTCACCCCCGCACAGCAGCGGTCGTGGGAGATCGTATGGCGGCGTGCGCAGGCCGCGGGCCGGTCCAGCCCGGACCCCATGGACCCCGAGCCGTACGAGTTATCGCCGTTGGAGTGCGCGATTATGGATTTTTGCATCAATTTGTTACGCCAGCGGATCCGGCACCACGAGTATGGGTGTGCGTTTATATGCGCATCGGCCGTGTTGGGCCGGAAGTTGTCCGGATGGGATGGGGTGGAGGATTACCCCCCCAAGATATCCAGTTTGATCAAGATCGCCCGTTTTTTGGTATTGCATAAGGCGTTGCGGTTAGACCCCGATTCGTTGGCCATCCGGCGTGGGTTCGCGCAGGGCAGCCAGGAGCCCCATTTCCGTGGTGACGATATCCCCGTCGCGGACGGATATATATTTGACGGGGACGAGGGTTATGCCAGCAGCCCCGTCCGAGAGACGCCCACCCCCCGTCCCATGCCCGGATCCCCCACCACGTCCATTTTGGGACCCCCCACCCAGATCCAGGGTCGTCGGGTGATTCGTACGTTTCCCGAGTGGTTACGATTGATGGTGGATGCGTTTATGGTGCGTGGGACCCACGGGCCGGTCCAGTGGTTATTGGATTTACGCACGTACGGAAAGAAGGTGTTTTTCAACACCCCGTCCGAGGGGCATATCGGATGGAAAGGCGAGGATGAGTTGTTGTATAAGCAGTTGCATTTTACCATGGGTGATTTCCGTGGGATGGTCCACGGGTTGGTCGAGAGCATGCGGAACCAGTTTCACCAGCAGTTGATATTCGCCGAGGGTGCACAGATCCCCAGTATTGATTTACAGGATATATACGACGATCCCACGCAGCGGACGGCGGATTGGAGTTTTATCAAGGATTCCCGTACGCAGTGGCCCGTCCACGGGGCCGAGTGGTTGATCCAGCGGGTGGCCCAGGAGCCCACGTTCCGGCGGCGATTCAGCGAGCCGGACGGCCAGGGGTTCCGGATGCGTGCAATTGACCGGTATTTTGCCGAGGTGGCCCGGTTCCGCGAGCGGTTAAGCGTGGCGATCCATATCACGGCCGGCCAGCCCAGCCGTACGCCCGAGTTGTTGAGTATCCGGTACCGGAACAGCGAGCGAGAGATCCGCAACGTGTTTATCGAAGATGGGATGGTGGTATTTGTCAGCCGATATCACAAAGGGTTCCATATCACCAACGATACCAAGGTGATTCAGCGGTATTTGCCGCAGGAGGTTGGGGAGTTGGTCGTCCGATATATATGGTTGGTGTTGCCGTTTGTGGAGATATTGCAAGCATATCAGTGGCAGCAGCGAGGCACCCCCACCCCCCGCCGACAAGAGTATTTATGGGGCCCCGACGCCGGCAGCGAGAAGGCGTGGACGGGCGTACGATTCCGGAAGGCGTTGGAATCGGCCACGGCCGCGGGGTTGCACGGGCAGGCGGTCCACGTGTCGGCATACCGCGACATCGCCATCGCGATCAGCCGGCGGTATTTACGGGGCAAGAGCCAGTTTGAGAGTAACGTGCAGGAGGGCACGGGCGAGGCGGCCCCCCCGTACGACCCCGACGACGAGGGTGGGATGGACGAGGAGGAGTTTATGGGGCATATTGCGGATTTGCAAGCCACCCATTCGTCCCACGTGGCCGGGATGATGTACGGTCGTACGATCATGGAGCCCACCAACAGCACCACGCACCGGCGGCAGCGGTTCCGGCAGTCCAGCCAGGATTGGCATCAATTTTTAGGGTTTGCATCCGCCGTCCGCGCCGGGGTATGCGGTAAGCGTCCGAATCCGTGGGAGGATGATGCCGAGGAGAGCCGGACGCAGCGGCGGTATCAGTTACAGCAGGCCCATATGTTGCAGTCGTTCCAGCAGATGGTCGGACGGCCCGAGATGGTATTCCGTGGGGTGCAGGAGCCCGCGTTGCGGGCGATCCAGCAGGGGGTCAGCCCGGTCGTGGCGGTGATGCCCACCGGGGGGGCAAGAGCATATTATTCATGTTACCCGCGTGGGTCGGGGGTGGATTGACGGTGGTGGTCGTCCCGTTGATCGCGTTACGCCAGGATATGGTCCAGCGGTGCGAGCAGTTGGGGATATCATGCGTGCCGTACGACCGCCAGCGGCCCCCGGACGAAGCGTCGATCGTGTTGGTCACCCCCGAGAGCACCCGCAGCCAGGGGTTCCGGACGTTTTTGAACCGGCAGCGGATGTTGCAGCGGTTGGAGCGGATCGTGATCGATGAGTGCCACGTCGTGTTGAATCATCAAGATGATTTCCGGCCCCAGTTGCAGATGATGGGGGAGTTGCGGGCCGCCAAGACGCAGATGGTCATGTTGACGGCCACGTTACCCCCGGCGGCCGAGCCCACGTTATTATACCGGATGGGGTGGCCCCGGGAGCAGGTGGCCATATACCGGGCCCGCACGCACCGGCCCAACGTGGCATACCGGGTATGGTGCCCGGAGGTGGAGGCGGGGTACGATCACCCATCCCAGTGGATCCAGATGGACGGGGTGATCCAGTTTATCCAGGAGCGGGTCCAGCGGGCCCACCCCGGACGGGTGATCGTATATGGGAGTATCGTGGCGCACGTCCGGATGATGGCGGACCAGTTAGGGTGTGACGCATATTTCAGCCAGCAGCACGATCAAGATGGGGTGTTAGCCCGGTTCCGTACGACGGCGGGGGCGGTGATCGTGGCCACCAACGCGTTAGGCATGGGGATCGACATTCCGGACATCCGCAGCGTGATCCATTTGGGGCAGCCCCGTACGATATTGGATTACGCGCAGGAGAGCGGGCGTGCGGGGCGTGACGGGTTGCCGAGTGAGGCGATCATCATTCAGCCGGAGGGGCAGCGGGTGGGATATCAGCAGCGTCCAGCATGGATGCCCGAGTCCGCGGAGGAGCAGCAGCGGGTGCAGCAGTATATGTTGCCGTTGGACGCGGGGGGTGGATGCCGGCGGGTGATATTAGATGAATATTTAGATGGGCATGTCCGGCCGGGGTGTACGGACGACGAATCGGCATGTGATGGGTGTGATCGGGGGTGGTATCCACGTGAGACGGATATCGGTGACGAGATGGAGAGCAGCACGCCGGACGGGCATACCAGGGTACCCAGAGTGCAGACGTCCGGGGAAGAGAGCCCCAGCGAGAGGTCCCGCGAGAGGTCCCGCGAGAGGTCCCGCGAGAGGTCCCGCGAGAGGTCCAGCGAGAGGTCCAGCGAGAGGTCCAGCGAGAGGTCCAGCGAGAGGTCCGGGGAGAGAGCCCCAGCCCAGGGTCCACAGGAGAGAACGCAGGGCAGGGGTCCCGGGAGAGGGCCCGTCCATCCCCATGGCCGTCCGACATGAGTTCCGGCGGCAGGACATCCAGCGGGCCCAGTTGTCCAGCCAACGACCCGAGGCCAGGCAGGACCAGATCCAGAGAGATATGTATTTCCAGAGTGAGATCGGACGGTGGTTGATGCGGTGTTGGTCGTGTGCGCAGGAGGGGAGGGATGACGGACATGAGTTGTTTCGGTGTCCGTGGGGGTATAATATCGAGGCCAAGGCGTGGTGGAAGCGGATGCGTGCGTTTGATGGGATCCGTTACCAGGATTACAGCGCGCATTTCCGGTGTGGGATGCCGCAGTCGATATGCCCGCAGGGGGATCCCAGCAAAGCGATATCCCGTACGACGGAGGCGCAGCAGAGATGTGAGCAATACCGGCACACATTGTTACCGATGGTGGCGATGATGTTGTTCAGCCAGAAAACGCATGCGGAGATCCGTACGGCGTGGGATCGACGGTTACAGTATGTCGGGGTGGATAGTACGGATGAGGAGCAGTTAAAGCGGTATTTTGGGGGTATGGCAGAAGAGATTGCATGCCAGCAGTCCCGGTTAGTACAGGAGTTCATTTGGTGTCGAAGGATTTATCAGGGGCATGAAGTCGAGTAGATGGCGGAATCGGAATATATTATCATTCACGGGATCGGCGGATTTCCCGGAGGGTCGTTCAGTAGATATATATAATCAAGGTGGGTCGTTCGGCATTGAAGAGATAGGGTTTGTGCACAAAAACGCCACAGAAGATAGGCATTGGAGAGATAGGGTTTCGTGCACAAAAAGCCAACAGAATGTAAAGACGTACGAGAGATAGGTTTTTGTGCCCAAAAACGCAACAGAATATCAGATATGAGAGACAGGTTTTTGTGCACAAAAACGCAACAGAAGATAGGCATTCGAGAGATAGGTTTTTATGCATAAAAACGCAACAGAATATCAGATATTAGAAAGATAGGTTTTTGTGCACAAAGACGTAACAGAATATCAGATATGAGAGACAGGTTTTTGTGCACAAAGACGCAATAGAAGATCAGATATGAGAGACAGGTTTTTGTGCACAAAAACGCAACAGAAGATAGGCATTCGAGAGATAGGTTTTTATGCATAAAAACGCAACAGAATATCAGATATTAGAAAGATAGGTTTTTGTGCACAAAGACGTAACAGAATATCAGATATGAGAGACAGGTTTTTGTGCACAAAGACGCAATAGAAGATCAGATATGAGAGACAGGTTTTTGTGCACAAAAACGCAACAGAAGATAGGCATTCGAGAGATAGGTTTTTATGCATAAAAACGCAACAGAATATCAGATATTAGAAAGATAGGTTTTTGTGCACAAAGACGTAACAGAATATCAAGATCATCCCATATAGGTATCGAGCGTGTAGGGTGTTTAGGGGTATAGGGCCCAGTAGTATAGAGGGCCCAAGCGTGGTTAGGGTGATAGTGTGTAGCGTAGTAAGGGTAATAGTATAGGGAGTGGTAAGGGTGGTAGCGTACCAGGCATATCGGGTTAGAGAGTATAGGCGTACATATGGCGAGAGCACCGGCGTAGGTACAGGCGTTAGCACAGGCGTGAGTGTAGATAGCGTAGGCGTAGGCGTACGGGACATAGGTATATAGATAGGCGTGGATGTAGGCGTGGATGTAGGCGTGGATGTAGGCGTGGGTGCAGAGGGCGTAGGTACAGAGAGCGTAGGCGTACGGAGTATAGAGCCCGGTAGTATAGAGAGCCCAAGCGTGGTCAGGGTGATAGCGTGGTAAGGGCGATAGCGTGGTCAGGGTGATAGCGTGGTCAGGGTGATAGCGTGGTCAGGGTGATAGCGTGGTCAGGGTGATAGCGTACGGGTGGTGAGGGTAATAGTAGTGAGGGTAATAGGGTATAGGCGTATGTATGCCGTGGGCATAGGCGTGGGCACAGGCGTGGGTGTAGAGAGTATAGACGTACGGGTGGCGAGGGCACAGGCGTAGGCATAGGCGTATAGGTACGGAGATCGTATATGTATAGATAAAGAGATCGTATATGTATAGATAAAGAGAGCGTATGCGTATAGGTATAGAGGCCCGTGGTATAGAGAGTATAAAGAGCAGGCGTAGGCGTAGGAGCAGAGGGCGAAGGTATAGGCGTGAGCGTAGGCGTACGGGGCATAGGCATGTGTGTAGGCGTGGACGCAGGGGTGAGTGTAGGCGTGGACGCAGGCGTGAGTGTAGGCGTAGGTGTAGAGAGCGTAGGCGTACAGGGTAAAGGGCATAGAGGCGCAGAGCGCAGAGCCCGGGGTGGCGAGTATATAGGGGATCATCGTTATCAGTATGGTCAGGGTAATGGAGAGAGGTCAGGGTTTTGGTAGTAAGAGATATGATTCAAGTAGAGAAAGCGTGATTTCGGCAGGAATAATTAAAGTATCAATACAATATATAGATCAATCGGGTAGAGGATAGAGATATCGGTCGAAGGAATATCGTGAGGATAATTATATATCGAGGTAGAGAGCGTAGAGCCCAGGGTAGCGAGGATAGAAGGGTGCATCACGAACGATCCGGATTTCGAAAGAAAGATATATCATTGATCGAGAGAATGATGTTCGCCCATACATCAGTGATATTGATAATATATATATTCATAAACCAGAGAGATGGTGGAAATGGAGATTTCAGTAGAAATAAATATAGTCGGGAGAATCCGATATCCCAATCGAGGGAGTACAGGTAGATAGAAATCGACAGCGTAGGGGTATAGAGTATATCGATATTCCGAGTATAAGTGTGGTCCGGGTGATAGCGTATCGGGTGGTCAGGGGAAGAGAGAGAGAGGATGCATTCGGCCGGCATCCAGTTAGGATTGCGAATATATAGATCAATCGGGTTGAGGATGGCGATATAGGACCCGAAATATATCATCCGAGTAAGGGTCATATATTCGGGTATCAAGCATAAAGACAGAGAGAGCATAGGCGCATAGGTATTCATAGGGCGAAGGTATCGAGATTCCGAGTGTAGGGAGATCGAGGGTAGGGGTAGGATAGAGCGTAGGGGTAGTAAGGGTGATAGTGGTAAGGGTGATAGTATGGTTAGGGGGATAATAGCGTAAGTGGGTAGGGTGGTCGTGGTAAGGGTGATCGTAGTAAGGATGATCGTGGTAAGGGTGGTCGTGGTAAGGGTGATCGTGGTAAGGGTGATAGAGTACGGGTAGTAAGGGTAATAGCGGTAGGGGTAATAGTACGGTCCGGGTAATAGTATATAGGTAGTAGGGGTAGTAGTATACCAGGCATATAGGTATAGAGAGGATAGGCGTAGGGACAGAGGGCGTAGGTGCAGAGATCGTAGGTACAGAGAGCGTAGGTGCAGAGAGCGTAGGCGTACGGAGCATAGGCATATATATAGGCGTCGGCATAGGCGTAGGTGCAGAGAGTATAGGTATATAGGTGCGGAGGACATAGGTATGGGTATAGGCGTAGGTATAGAGAAAATAGACATACAGGTCCGGTAGATACCAGCGTAGGTATAGGCGTAGGTATAGGTATAAGTCAAGGCGTTCGTATAGGCGTAGAGCGTCGAGCGTAGGGTAGCGAGTATATCAGGGATCAGGGTAATATATATCGTCAGGGTAGAAGAGAGGTCAGGGTTTTGGTAGCAAGAGATATCATTCGAGTGGAGAAAGAGTGATTTCAGCAGGAATCATTCGAGTATCGATAATATATATGTTTATATATTCGAGAGCATAGAGATATCGAGATATAGATCCCAAAAATATAGTCAGGATAATTATATATAGAGGTAGAGAGCGTAGATATAGCGAGCACAGATATAGGCGATAGGATAGGCGTGAGTATAGAGAGGGTAGGTAGTTAGATATAGAGAGTATAAGTATAGGTATAGGCGTCGGGGTAAGCGTAGGGGTAGGCGTAGATATATAGGGTATCGAGGCGTAGAGCGTAGAGCCCAGGGTGGCGAGGATATAGGGGTCGATAGAGAGAGATCAGGATTTCGATAGAAAGATGTATAATTAGTAGAGAGAGAAGGATTTTGCAGCAATATCAGGAATATCGGTAATATATCGATTTATATTCAAGAGCGATAATGGACATGAAGATTTTAGTAGAAATATATATGGAAGGGAGAATGCAAGATTTGGGTAGAGGGAGTATCGATATACCGATATCGAAAGCGAAGGGGTATCGAGTATATCGATATCAATCATATCAGTATAGTCAGGATCATGGGGTATATAGTAGTAAGGGTAAGAGCGTACCAGGTAGTAAGGGGAAGAGAGAGAGAGGAAGATATTAGTCAGAATCGGGTTAGTATCGAGAAGATATATATCCATCGGGTAGAGGCATAGATATATTCGTGCCAAACGATATAAGAGGAGTCAGGGGAATTATATATTCGGGTATAGAGTATACAGACAGAGAGAAGGGCGTAGGGGTAGGGAGAGGCGTAGGTATCGGGGTATAGGGTATAGATATAGATATGCGTATAGGGGCAGGCGCAGGCGTCAGGATAGGGGTAGGTATAGATAATAGTAAAGGGGGAGTTCGGAGGGGGTTTCCAGGGTTATAGAGATACGATATAGGAAGTTTGAGGTTATATAGGAAGATATCGGGATAGAATAGGATTCAGGAAGGGGCGATATAATAGATATTTCGATAGATGGTATAATAGATAGGTCAAGAGAGGATAAGGATGGAAAAGAGGAGGGTAATGATTAAGAATAACATAAGGTGGTAGAAGATAGACAAAGTGGGAAGGATAGGGATATTAGGGAGAAGGAAGGAAAGAATAGTGAGAGTAAGAACGGGGTATATGGTGAGGGTAGTTAGTAAAAGTGGATAGGGTGAGAATAGCGTAGGTGATGGGGGTGAGAATAACGTAGGTGGTGAGGGTGATAATAGCGTAGGTGGTGATAGTGTATGTGGTGAGGGTGATAATGGCGTACGTGGATAGGGTAAGAATAGCGGACGTGGTGAGGGGGAAGGAGCAGAGATAAGGATATACGCGCGAGCGAAGCGAGTAGCGTATTTGATGAACGGTTATCGCGAATTAAGGACCCGGGTCAGGGTGGTTAGGGTGGTTAGGGTGGTTAGGGTGGTTAGGGTGGTTAGGGTGGTTAGGGTGGTTAGGGTGGTTAGGT